TGTATTATACTTGATTCGTTCGTTCGTTTCAGCCAAATGACGTCCACTGCTGGACAAAGGCCTCCCCCAAGGTTTTCCACAATGAACGGTCCTGCGCTGCCCTTATACTTGATTAACGTATGATGATCTCCGCTTAGCTTTGGATGGAAGTCAATCGTTTTAGATGATTCAAACTCCTTCCCTAGTTTGGATCTAGCGGACAAGCGGTTATCCTCAAGATTCCAGTGGTGCGAATAGTCCCGTTAAAAGTAACTAACTAAATAAATGTATGTTTAGGCGTGAGACGATGGACTAAAATAGAACCATGTAAATTGTGGAATGTCCTTTCAGTGCGTGGGCGACAATATATAGCTTAACCCTTAAACAAAGCAAAGGTGGAATCAGAGGCCAGATCAATTTGAACTTTATGCTGTGAAGATACAGTTGAAAGCCAATGCAAACATTTTTTCCTAAGCTTAGCTAAGGGTTAACGGCTGAATTCTAGAGGATTATAAGGGAAAGGCGTCAAATAACACAACCATCTAGATTTCTTAATAGGTATATTTTTACATTGGAAATAATACAGGCGGTTACATAAAATAAATAGGGTACGATTTACATATCCAAAGTGATGTTTACAAACGAAATGCAAGAAATATACTTATCTACATGCGAACTACGTTGTTGTATTGATCAGTTTAGTAGATTGGTGGTTTTAATTATACACATGTTGTATTCTTGACGAAGTACTTTTTGCACCAATCTGTCAAAGAGACCAATACCTGATAGCCAAACTGTACAAAATATAAGAAAAACCATCCTTTGCTTAACAACACTAAAGATGGTTTCATTGAATCTTAAACCATAGTTCACACAAAGTCCATTTTTATGTTATCAACAAAATAACCTTGTACAAAATGGCATAGGATTTATTCTGTTAAAAAATAAATAATCATATCCGGATTTTTATGTAAACATTATGTGAACTACTCATAAGTAATTAACATATTAAATATATCATTAAGGAATATTAAGGAAGGGGTAGTAATTAACTTGACACCAATGTGTCCTCGGCTGTACTAAAAAAGTGAATAAATTAATTTCAATTACATTTACCTTATCTAAATTAGACATCGAATAATACTTTAAGCATCTGAAAATACAATTCCTAAGAATCTAACAGTATTATTGTAATTTTTGGTATAGTTAATTTTTTTCTATAAAATAATAAACATAAAATAAAAAAATTACAACAATTATTCACATTTTTAATACAACCTCCTTGTTAAATAATATAGTTTTAGTAACAAAATTAAAAATATTGCGTTGTGATGGTAAATAATAATAAATTTTTCTTGTGCTTTTTTTGTGTAGACTTATTTTTAATGTTAGTTTTAACGGTATACATTTCCGATACAATATTCATAAATCCACGACTTGTTAGTTAGTTTATTACAACTAAGTTTATGCAGCACAACATGAGAAAGCGTACTACGAATTGGTCAATATGATCAATTGGTAAAAAATGTATAAAAATCATACACATAACTAAATAATAAAATACATAATCTCAAAAAATACTATGCCGTAACAGTAATTAGTATGTGGGAAACTAACGGTGGATAATTTTAACCTATTTAATTAATTAGGCAAGTGTAATTCGGTACGAAAAGCAGTTTTTATGTCAACAACCACATTATTAGATTGATCAAACTTTGATTCAATTTTATATGCCAATATTTCAAAGTCTTTATTGTTTCAGTGATGGACGATACTTACCAGCCATTTTAATAATGTGATGCTAACATAAACACTGCTTTCCTTTAAAACAAATTGGAATGCGTTATACCGGTAGGGAAGTATTAAAAAATTGGCACAGTAACGTACGTACAAAGGCGGTATTAATAGGTACACTTCAATATCGTTATTAAAAACCTGGCAACATTTTTACACCTTACATACTAGCAACACTCCTCAGGCGTACATACAACATAGAACATGAATTAAACTAGCAATCTTCTGACTTGTATTCATAGTATGACTTACCACTACTGTAGTGTTCATTTACTTACATTTCGACTACATAAAAAACACAAAATGCTGATTCTGGAGGCATTCTCTGAGTTTTTTGTTTAAAAAAGAAAAAAGTAGCGCTAAAAATATTTAACTTACTTCATCGATACATGATCATTCTTATATTTTTTTCGGTATTATACATCTAGTAATAGGAATCATCGTAGACATTTTCACTAATAAGAAATGTGGATCAAATCAATTATTAATAATTACGTAATAAACAACAAATCGTCGCTAATGGGACAACTATGATAATAATCAAAATAGAATATTAGAGAATGCTTAGCAAAATCAGCCAAGAGCTTGCCACTTATAAAAAACGTAGCGTGTATACATAAGGCCGTGGACACACTGTATAACCCAATAAACGTTAGGTTAGAAGAGGGTAAGCCGAAGAAACAAGATACAATTTTAATAATGAACTAACTACATGGAGTTCTTCACACAGCGATGGAGTAATAAATAACATCTTTGCTATGTGTGTCGTGCCATTTTGAGGGCAAACTTAGTCGGGGTCTTATCTTTTTGCGAATTGGTATTTATTAGAGCACTTTAAAGTTTAAAGGAAGGTTTGTTACTAAAACTATTAGATCACTTCAACTCAGTAAAGGTCAGATCAAACAGGTTTCAGATGACACGGACCAGGTTTTTAGACAAAATCTAACCAGTCACAACATTAAAAATGTATAAAGATTCAAACAAAATATGACATTGTTTATTATATTAATCAAAATATAATATAAACAAAAAACAAACTCAAGAAGGAAATGGAGATATCAATTTAATCTAACAGCCTATTTAATATTTTCCAGATCAAAACCAACATCCGTGGTATTTGATATAATTTGACCCAAAAAAAAATATTTCAACTTCGAGACTTTGAAACTCTTAATTTTTATTTAACACTAGAGTACACGCGCGGACTACTATAGTAGACCAGGGTAACATTTTACACTATAACTTTTTGAAAACTTGCGCCAGAGAGCTGGCATTCCAGGAAAACCTCGTTTACTAAATTTGTCAGTAAGCCAGTAAAGCTTGGGTCGCTAGAGTCTGCGCACTTTTCTAAAATTGGCCGTCAAAACTGCTCAAAAGCCCGAAATTACTCGACAAAAAAATTATGAAAGACTTGCAACAAATGGATTTACACCGTGTACCAGGCCGTAGAAAGTTATGAATACTATGACTGATAAAAAACTAATCATATTTTTTCAGTAAATTTTTTTTGTTAACATTGGTCTCAGAGTGCAATTTTGTGTCCAAAAAATTTACAACTTTTAAATCTGTTTATAATGTTTGATCCCAAATAGTTATATAAAGAAACTTTGATAATAAAATAACTATAATAAACACTTTTATCATTTACATAATTATTCTATTCATAAATTGCTTAAAAACTGATTTACAGTGATTTTAAATTGGCTTACCAGAGTAGGCCGCGCGTGTATTCGTGTAAAAAAAGGGGCGCGTGTACTGCAGTGTTAAATGCAGAAAGAGAGCTGTGAATGAGGCAATGTAATAATATGTAAACTTTACATTTATTAAAACATGTATATTTAATTACGAATAACTTTAAAAGGACTCTCAAAGTTGTATCAATTAGTAAAACTTTTTATAACTGTCTATGAAATATTATTATGACATCCAGATTTCTAAATTGTAGCCAACAGTCAATCATGCATATAAACAGGATCATAGTCCATGAATGTANATACTTAATATTTTTAAAGTCCATGAATGTATGAATTACCCTGATCATTGTAAATAATGAATGATCGTGTATTTAACGTAAACAAAAACTAGATAATTTAAAAAATATACAAAAATAACTTTCATGTGTAAAAAATATATAACAAAATATGAAAAAAAAAACTGTAGACTGTAGAAAATAAATATTGCGATATTATATTTAGATCTACTTTTGAACGCGGTCTGTTCTTAGTCGGGAGAAACTTCATTTAGAAATATGTGAGATTATTATAATTTGTAGTTTGTCAGTACTCAGCTTTGCAATAAAATAATGGTTATGATGATGACTCCATAAATAGATTTCGAAATAGGAATAATAGGAGATAACGTCAAAAATCGTCTACTTATTTATCTTTTGATTGTAAGTTATTTAAAGTACATATACCAATTAATTGTGGTTGTTTTCAAATTTTAAACTTTCAGAAACACAGAAAGTTATATGAATAAATTTAGATATCCCGATAGACATTTATATCCATAAATACATGCAATGTTGTCCCATAAAAGCCTATCCTACCAGTACGCTACAGACCGACTATCCCTACAACCATCACATATAGAACAACATACATTGACGCTTTTCTTTGGTTCAACGAGTAAATGCGGGTAGTTTGCGCGCGTTAGATTTGAGTAACCACAAGAAAAAATTTGGGATATTGTGGTATGTTATATTAGCTGTAATATATAATACCTAATTTACTTGGAATAAAGTTCAACGTTTGTCAAAACTTTTGACTCAAAAGTGTTCCTGCAAAGATTTATTTCGTTGCAAACGTACATAGTAAGTTTTTACATAAAGATAACACATTTTAATCATAAATAATGACGGTATGTACTCAAGAGTTACAAAAAGCAATCATTACGCGGACAAATCTTGACTTTCCTCTTACGTAGTTGTAACAATTTTATTATTATTGGCATTGAACACTTCGAAGATAAATAAAAGGACATGTAACGGGAAATATAAACAACTGCGAATATGACAGAATAAACTATAGTGGAATCCGCTTGGAAAAGGTCTACAACGTTAACAAATAACTGACTGATCTTTGACACCGTACATAAAAAATACGATGTCAGCGTCCTATACATGACAGAAATGTCACGTATACTTGACCAATCCCAAACAGAGGTGGAATTGTGTAAAGCAATCGTAATCATTTGACAATTCATAACGTACGATAAAGTCAGTGAAACAAAGCGTTTGACAGAATAATCGTACGTTATGAACTGTCAAATGATAACGATTGCTTTACACAATTCCACCTCAGATGTAGTTCACGTGTATATTTACTAAACTGATTAAAAATTGAAACTATCTATCGGCGATATACATAGTGTATAATATTAGGCTACATGGCACGTTGATCGCACAAACGTCACCCGCTCTACGTTCGACACATTTCAAAACTAGCAACACCGAGTACAGTGCCACAAACTTAGATACGACGCCAAAGCAAATTCTATGCAGATGTGTATAAAATTTTGATTTTGTTTTGGCGAATTTTACGCAATATCGAGTACACCAAAACGCTGTTGTCTCTCAATATAATAATTTATACCATCATTCGAGAAATCCTGTTGTCTTTTGTGCCGATTCATTCAATGATATGGTAAAACTATTTAAAGTTTTTGTAGGACGCAACATTGACTTCTTAAAAATTTATATAATCATACTTTTGTGTATTCTTTTTTTGGATATTCCACAACCTCAAAGTAATCATTATAATTAAGTTTTGCGAAATTAACCCAAGTTTGTAGCACTGTAGAACAAGCTGGAGGTTTACTTCGAGAAACGATAAATGATATATCGTAACAAAATCGATACGATAACTATAACGAACATTTAAGTATTAACAATCCGACGCACTGTCGTTTGATTATATCGACATCGTTTTTAGAGTAGACCCCCCAGAGTGGATAGCGAAAAAATAACTGCAGACTTTAGTGGATTTGAATCCCGTGTTTTTCTAACGATTTACAACAACACGTAGCTAGAAATATAATAATAACTAATATTTAGCCTCGTCTTGCTAGATGAAAAAAGATGGCAACACCAAGCTATCCACTCGTGCTATGTCATTATCAATCAATATCTGAGGACTTGACAACAATATTGAACTACTACTACTATGTTTTGATGAAAATGGACAGAAAAATCTAGTGGCGCTCATTCACTGGGCTATTTACGTGTAATGTAACCGTATAACATTCGTATTTGAGCTTAATGTCTTAACCTTCCGCTAGAATACTATCTTGAGCCTCATGAAAATGCTTTCGGTGAATGAGCACCTTAAAAATAGCCGGAGAAAAGAAGACAGCGCTCTATGAAACGCAAGACTTGTCTCTTTTACACCAAAACTTATTTTAAACGCATTAACATAAGATTGAATCTAGATAAGCACTTAGGTACTTGTAATATGAACATGTTGTGTTTTAAATGTTACGCTCTTCTTCCAATATCTCTTTGTCGAAGTATGTATGTTAGGGTACAATTCTTTTAGAAAGTCTTTAAATTATACTTATGCCATGATGAATTAATAAAATGATACATTACACTACAAATCATTATAAATGATGCTATAACATAAATACTATTGAAGAAATAACATGTTCAAAAGAATTATACCCTTTTCTCAAACAAAGTCCATCTTCACTTAATTGACACACCACTAACAGCAGTCTTCACATTTATATTAATTACAATACAATACAATACGCTAAATTACATTGTTATAATAAAAATACTGGACCATAAACTTGATTTAATAGGAATTACAAATAATGTCCGTATGACATTCGAAAATTTACCGTATTGGTATAAAGAATAGAACGCAATTTTGCGCCAATAGTCAATAGAGTATACTTTCCAATGCGAATATAGACAAATCCGCCATACCGACGGTATGATATATTACACACTTGTGTATATTTAAATTACAAAGAAAACTCCACCATCGACCGAACAACCTTCTTCTTACCATAGACAAAACATGGCTACGAAAAAAATATTAAAAATATATTCTATTCCTTGCCTATCGGAACACGTAAAGATACTATTGCACTGGGTCTATAACTGTGTGGAATACTACAATATGGCTTTTTGCTATTCTAAATTATAAATTGTTCGTACTGGTTTGCGGTACCTTCATGTATAAACTCACTGAATTTTCACCTTTGCTGGGCCTTATTTCTTTTTACCACACAAAAAGTTGCAGCTTAAGAAAAAAATAACAAGCTGTATTTTTCTGTAGCAATACACATTAATCAAATCAGTCTTGAACAGTCAAAAATCTCGTACCATTTGAGAGACTTGACCACATACAATATTTCTTAACAAATACACTGCAAAACTCAAATGAGTGCAATTCAGTAGTGAATATTATGCATAGATTTGCGCTAGGTGTAATGTAGTTTCACAAAATGAAAATCCAAGGAGTTTATACAGTACTGCTCGTCACTTGCGACAATCTACCATACCATAGAAAAAAATGCTAGAAAAATCCACATCTGCTGTAGTAAATATATGCACACAACCACATCTTATTTCATAAGAGACGAAGCCTTACACCAAATAATTTATAAATCCCGCTAATTTTATTGTTTCAATACATTTGAGCATTACAGATTGCCACATTATTGAAAATTACTGGTCTATAAAATAATAAATGCTAGTCACGTACAAGCGTTGCCAATAATACGAAAGGCTTGCACTTAACCGTGTTTACTTCACGTTGGTAGGTGGTTTGGGATGTTCACAACGAATTATGTATCATAATAAGCTTGAAAAGTCATATACATTAAATATACATTGAGTATTGGACACCACTCTGCGCGTCAACTTGACGGATGGCCGTGCGTGATATTCCCGCACGAGTTCACGTCGTGCGCGTCATTTTGACGCATTTCGTCGCGGGTGAGTCAATACCTACTGTCCTACTTTGAGGGCGACAACTAAAACCGCTCGCGTGTGCACGCGTCTGAGTATTCATTCAATTCGGATACAACCTGTGTATTACCGTGACACTTGGTGAGATGCGCTGGAGTACCTGGAATATAAAGTTTTGATTGAGGATTTTGTTATAGTAAAGTAAATTAAATAAGCTAACTCAGACATGAAATAAATTGAGCAAATAATCACGACATTATGCTTTGCACACCGGATGACATTGTCGGCTGCGGAACCCTCCGAAAAAAAGATTTGTAGAACTAAAGTAACCGACATAGCCCGCAGATTATCAAACTGAAGTAGCATTGGCCAGAACACAGCACCCGGGTCGTTAGTGGGAGGAACTAGGAGCCCGGGTCGCTGTCGGGTCGGAACTCGGCACTCGGGTCGCTGGCTGCAAGCTTATAGAAACTAACAGTGGAGACTATGGAAAAGATTTTACCTGTGCTCGGGCGCGGCCAACAGTGTGCCGTAGTGCGCCAGCGCATAAATACGACTGGATCAGTGACAGCTAGCGTGCAGAATTTCAGCAATGGAGACTAATAACTTATTGAACATAGTTTACCTGTGCTCGGACGCGGCCAACAGCGTGCCGTAGTTCGCCAGCGCGCAGTACGACGCCAGCAGCGCAGGCAGCGCGTGCGGCGCGTGGCCGGCGGGTCTGTGGCTGTAGAAACTAACTGAAGTTTAGACTGAAAATAGTTTACCTGTGTTCGGGCGCGGCCAACAGTGCGCCGTAGTGCGCCAGCGCACAGTATGACGCTAGCAACGCAGGCAGCGCGTGCGGCGCGTGGCCGGCGGGTCGGAACTCGGCGCGCGGGTTGCCGGCGGCAAGCTTATAGAAACTAACAATGGAGACTATAGAAAACATTTTACCTGTGCTCGGGCGCAGCCAGCAGTGTACCGTAATGAGCTAGCGCGCAGTACGACACTAGCAACGCAGGCAGTGCGTGGCCGGCGGGTTGGAACTCGGCGCTCGGGTCGCTGGCGGTTAGTGTGTAGAAACTAACAGAAGTTTAGACTGAAAATAGTTTACCTGTGCTCTGGCGCGGCCAACAGCGTGCCGTAATGAGCCAGCGCGCAGTACAAGGCTAACAACGCAGCCAGCGCGTGGCCGGCAGGTCGGAAATCGGCGCTCGGATCGCTGGCGGTAAGTGTGTAGAAACTAACAGAAGTTTAGACTGAAAATAGTTTACCTGTGCTAGTAGTGCGCCAGCGCATAAATACGACTGGGTCAGTGACGGCTAGCGTGCAGAATTTCAGCAATGGAGACTAATGCCTTATTGAACATAGATTACCTGTGCTCGGGCGCGGCCAACAGCGTGCCGTAGTGCGCCAGCGCGCAGTACGACGCCAGCAGCGCAGGCAGCGCGTGCGGCGCGTGGCCGGCGTGTCGGAGCTCGGCACTCGGGTAGCTGGCTGCAAAGCTTATAGAAACTAACAGTGGAGACTATGGAAAATAGATTACCTGTGCTCCGGCGCGGCCAACAGTGTGCCGTAGTGCGCCAGCCCATAAATACGACTGGGTCAGTGACGGTAAGCTTGCAGAAAGTAATCAATGGAGACTAATGCCTTCACCATCATCATCTCAGCCATAGGACGTCCACGGCCGAACATAGGCTCCCCCAATGCTTTCCATGTTGCCCGGTTGGTAGCGGCCTGCGTCCAGCGCCTTCCTGCTACTTTTGCGATCGGCGGCGACGAAGATCTAAGTGGCCGGCGGGTCGGAACTCGGCACTCGGGTCGCTCGCTGTAGAAACTAACAGAAATTTAGACTGAAAATAGTTTACCTGTGCTCGGGCGCGGCCAGCAGCGTGCCGTAGTGCGCCAGCGCGCAGTACGACGCCAGCAGCGCCGGCAGCGCGTGCGGCGCGTGGCCGGCGTGGCAGCGCGCGTGGGCGGCGAGCGCGGCGCACGTGTAGAGCGAGGCGGCGCGGTCGCTGGCGGGTCGGAACTCGGCGCCCGGGTCGTTGGCGGTCGGGTCGCGGGCGCCGCCGCACGCTGCGCTGAGCGTGCAGAAGCTTAGCGCTTTGCTGCCGCCGTATCTGTAAAGTAAACATGCGTATTAGTCTTTGCAAAGTAAACATGCGTATTAGTCTTCATCCTATACGTTTAATTCTTTATTCAGTAGCCGTTCGGCAGCAATCGTGAGAGCACGCTTACTCGGTCGTACACTAATTCCAGTGTTTCTCAAACATTCGTACAATGTTTACCTGCAACGCCTGTGGTGTGAAGCATAATGATGGCCCGATCTGTAGTGTTTGCAAAAACCAGTACGATTACACATGTTCTGGGGTCACGGAAAGCGGCTATAGAAAACTTGGAGACAGAAAAAATTCATGGCGATGTCCTAAATGCAAGTCTAGCAGCCCAGCACCATCCCCGGCGTCCACCTCTCCGATGCCCTCGCAGTTGGATAAAATGCAAGAGCAGCTTAACAAAATCATCTTGCAACTGGCCCCCCTAGCAGCTCTCATGGAAGATGTCAAAACGATCAAGTCTGACATCAGCGATCTGAAGGAGTCATTAGATATGGCACACGGACTTATAAACAACTTTTCAAGTTCTATAAAATCTCTTGAAACGCGTGNGCAGAGAAACTCAGAGCATAGCCCGCCCCATCCATTTTATTTTTATTTAGTTCAAAATCCTTAGACTACAACATCAGTACATCATAAGTACATTGGTTTGTTTTATTTGAACCAAAATGGCAGCCACTCAGCATGTGTTATGCTCTAGGACCTAGAGCATAACGCTGGTATTCTGTAGCAGCCATATTTTACTTTTATGGTTAAAAAACCTAAATACTGAGCAACCCCATCGATCAACTAATTACGAGAACTTCGAAGTTCAGGACGAACTTCACAAGTTTCCTCCCGAGCAAAGCGGAAGGCAGGTGACATGACATACATAAATCATCTAAAATAATTATACGGATAATTACCCCATTACGTAGGCTGTTAAGGCTTGNTAGGCTATTTATGGCTAATAACTGCTTTTAATCCGTTACTAGCCAATTGCTATTAATCGGATTATTAGCACTTACCCATCTCTAGTCACAATAAAGTAATACGAAAAACGCCTTAAAACAAAAAGTGACAATATTTCTCTTACATTTTTAAGAAGATTGTTCCATCACTTCGTAGAATATTGTGTTTATCCAAATTATGTAATATTAAAACAACAAGAAAGAATTTTAAATGATTAAGTAGTTATAATATCAGTAGCCGTTTCTGTATCAGTAACTGTATCAGTAGCCGTTCGGCAGCAATCGTGAGAGCACGCTTACTCGGTCGTACACTAATTCCAGTGTTTCTCAAACATTCGTACAATGTTTACCTGCAACGCCTGTGGTGTGAAGCATAATGATGGCCCGATCTGTAGTGTTTGCAAAAACCAGTACGATTACACATGTTCTGGGGTCACGGAAAGCGGCTATAGAAAACTTGGAGACAGAAAAAATTCATGGCGATGTCCTAAATGCAAGTCTAGCAGTCCAGCACCATCCCCGGCGTCCACCTCTCCGATGCCCTCGCAGTTGGATAAAATGCAAGAGCAGCTTAACAAAATCATCTTGCAACTGGCCCCCCTAGCAGCTCTCATGGAAGATGTCAAAACGATCAAGTCTGACATCAGCGATCTGAAGGAGTCATTAGATATGGCACACGGACTTATAAACAACTTTTCAAGTTCTATAAAATCTCTTGAAACGCGTGTGTCAGTGATTGAAAAGGTGGCAAATGTGACACCTACTCTCCAAGCAGAAATATCCAGACTAAATCGTGAAATTGATGATAGGGACCAATGGGCCAGAGCTAACAACGTTGAGATAAGGGGAATCCCTCAGAAGAAAAGTGAAAATCTATACGACATAGCCATGAAGATTGGAAGTTTATGTGATTTTCCTATCAAAAAAGAGGAAATAAATTATGTTGCCAGAATACCCACTCGAGTGCCTAATGCTGAGAAACCAATCATAATGTCACTCAATAATCGTTACACCAAAGAAGAATTGGTAGCTTCAGCGCGTAAAAGCAAGAAACTTAACCTTCCTGCGATGGGCTTCTCCACACCTGGAAACATTTACATAAATGACCATCTCACACAAAGAAATAAGTCATTATTAAGTAAGGCAAAATCATTGGCAAAGGAAAAGAATTTCCAGTATATATGGGTAAAACACTCAAAAATCATGGCAAGAAAATCAGATACATCACCCATATTTTTTATAAAATCCGAAAGCGATCTTTCCAAAATAATCTGATTCATTACTTACTATGTTTAATATTTGTACTTTTGTTACTAGATCTCGTAAGTGTAAACAGTTTGAGAACCGTCGGCGCCGTGTTAAAAATTAGTCATAACGCCTGCTTACTGTGTCTTAGTGGAGTGAGTAACCGGTTATCGAGTGTGAATGCCGCCGTCTCAACGCTGCGTACGCGCCGTTCGCTCGTGAGCGTGCGCTTTCTCGCAACCAGCGTAGCGCCTATTATTGCTTGCGCTTCTTATAGCTTATTAAGTTTACGATCGCCTGCGCTTAGAATCCTGTGCGCTGTGCGTATGGTGCGTATTTATTACACATCTACCTTATACTGTCCTCCTTATCTAAATTTTACAATGCTAATGTTTATATTAGTTTTAAAATATGCTAGTCACTTTAATAGTAGTTATTTATATTACGTATGCATAGAAATTAATAGTAGTAAATTGATAGCTCCGTGTCTGACGACCAATTTAACATTTTATTTCGTGCCGCAAAGCTATTACAGACGTATATTAAAATGTAACACAGTGAACTTAGCGCTTGTGCTGCAGGTAAGTCTCATTCAATACTTACATCGGAACTTGTTACGATGGACTTCTATTGAGTTTTTTAGTCTAGATAAAAATGACTACTACAGAAATTAACGCATATTACCAGAATACTCGGGGACTTCGTACTAAGACACACACATTCAAAAGGAACCTACTTCTTTCATGTTATGATATTATTTCGCTAACGGAAACTTGGCTCTTAGAGGGACTGAATACTAGCGAGTTATTCGACGATAGGTACGTAGTCTGGCGACGGGACAGGAATTACTCGAAAACAGGAGAAAGATACGGGGGTGGGGTACTTTTAGCCGTTCGGCGTGACCTAGCAGCTGTTGAACGACCTGAATGGCGCTCCTCCGCGGAGGATTTATGGGTGACCATATCATTAAATAATAAGAACCGTAACCTGGATAGGATGAAATTACATGTTTGCACTTTGTACCTCTGCAGGGAGAACTTAGGCAATTCCTTTAACTCACAATTACAGAACTTTGCAGATAATCTGTCACTGATTGTTAATTCTTGTCCACAAGATTTATTCTTATTAATGGGGGATTTTAACTTGAGCAATGTCGATTGGCATGATGGTCCTAATTTTCTGCAGCCGTTAGGCATAACAGGTGAGTCACAAACCCACTTCTTTGATACTCTTGCTGAGTGTAATTTAAATCAATTTAATTATAATAAAAATGTAAACAATCGAATACTTGATTACGTGCTATGCAATAATAAAGTGACTGTCATATCATGTGACGACCCCCTAGTAGCGGAGGACGCCCATCATAAGTCATTAAACATTGCCTTAAATTTTGCCCAAACTACCCCTTTGAAAATTAACCCTAGACTTAAATACTATTATGAAAAGGCAGACTACGAACCAATAATGACATCATTGAATGATATAAACTGGGAAGTTTGCTTAAATAATAATTCATTGGCAGACGCAACCAGTGTGTTTTATCAGCATTTGTACGATATTATAGATAAATATATCCCATATAAGTCAATTACCAATTACTCTTCATACCCACCCTGGTTCAATGCTCCATTAAAGAAAATTCTTAAGGAAAAATACAAATTCTTTAATAAATATAAAATATATAACAACAGTCATGATTATACCACATTTTGTATTCTGCGTGAAAGGGCTAAGCGAGTAGAACAGAAATGCTATGATGATTACATTAAGCGTACTGAAAATGCTATAATTGAGCAACCTAAAATGTTTTGGTCGTTTGTTAGATCTAATAAAAGTGGTTCAAATATTATTCCTTCAACTTTACATTACAAGGACCAATCCGCAAATACGGGTGAAGAAATCTGTAATCTTTTTGCCTCCTACTTTCATTCTACATTTCTCTCTTCACCTTTAAATAACACTTGTAATGTTTTTTCCGGAGTTCTAAATGGGAATGATTCAAACACTATTAGTGACATTGAGATTGATTCCGATAAAGTTTTCAAACTACTTAAATCAGTAGACTTAAGTAAAGGTGCTGGGCCAGATAAAATCGTGCCATTGTTCATTCTTAAATGTGCAAAATACTTAATCCCTACCACTTACTATTTTATTCAGGCGATCAATTTCGGAAGGAATCGTGCCTGTAATTTGGAAATCTGCATTCATCACACCCGTGCACAAAAGTGGCTGTAAGAGTGAGATAGGGAATTATAGGCCTATATCAAAACTTTGCATATTTGCAAAAATCTTTGAAAGAATAGTGTATGCTGAAGTTTATGGGGCTCTGTCATCGAAGTTTATCCCAGAGCAACACGGATTCTTAAAAAAGAGATCAACAGCCTCAAATCTGTTACTGTTCACGGACTTTACCACTTCTTGCATGGACTCTGGAGGACAAGTGGACGCCATTTTCACTGATTACAGTAAAGCTTTCGATCGGATTGATCATGTGTTGCTATTGCGAAAACTTCTCCTTGCAGGAGTTCATGGTAACCTGTTTAGATGGTTTACCTCATACATTGAAAATCGATCTCAGGCTGTAGTGGTGAATGGCTTCTCTTCTTGCTGGACCAATATTCCCTCAGGCGTCCCTCAAGGTTCCTTATTGGGACCCTTGCTCTTTAATATCTTCATAAACGATGTGTGTACTTGCTTCAAACATTCAAAATTTCTTCTTTACGCTGATGATATGAAGATATTTAAAAATATTTGCTCTTATGATGACTCTCGTTTTCTTCAGGAGGATCTGGATAGGTTTGAGCAGTATTGCTCTTTGAATAGGTTGGATTTAAACGTCGCAAAATGTAATTTTATATGTTTCACACGTAAAAGGAAGCCACTGTGCAACACATACTATCTTAGGGGACAGGAACTGAAGGAAGTGGTGGAGATACGAGACCTAGGTATCATACATGATACTAAATTGACGTATGAGAAACACGTGGACAATATTGCTANAAATTCCCGCACGAGTTCACGTCGTGCGCGTCATTTTGACGCATTTCGTCGCGGGTGAGTCAATACCTACTGTCCTACTTTGAGGGCGACAACTAAAACCGCTCGCGTGTGCACGCGTCTGAGTATTCATTCAATTCGGATACAACCTGTGTATTACCGTGACACTTGGTGAGATGCGCTGGAGTACCTGGAATAAGCAGTTTCAATTGGTGAATTGTTTTAAAATAGTAAATTAAATAAACTAACTTAGACATTAGATACATTGAGCAAATCATCGCGACATTATGCTTTGCAGACCGTAAGTAAGAAGTAACCCCTAAGTAAATAAGAAGATACGTAGAGCTAAGGTAACCTACATAGCCCGCACATTTACCAAATTGAAGTAGCAGTAGGCGGGGCATGTAGAACTCACTACGCGGTCATTGGCGGGTCAGAACACAGCACCCGGGTCATAAGCGGGCAGGAACTAGGCGTCCGGGTCATTGAGGGGTCGGAACTCGTCACTCGGGTCGCTGACTGCAAGCTTTTTGAAACTAACTAACAGTGGAGACTGTGAAAAATAGTTTACCTGTACTCTGTAGCGGCCAGCAGCGCGCCGTAGTGCGCCAGCGCATAAATACGACTGGGTCAGTAACGGCTAGCGTGCAGAATTTCAGGAATGGAGACTAATGCCTTGACCATCATCATCATCTCAGCCATAGGACGTCCACTGCCGAACAGAGGCCTCCCCCAATGCTTTCCATGTTGCCCGGTTGGTAGCGGCTTGCGTCCAGGGCCTTCTGCTACTGCCTTATTGAACATAGATTACCTGTGCTCTGACGTGGTCGCTGCCGGGTCGGAACTCGGCACTCGGGTCGCTGGCGGCAAGCTTATAGAAACTAACAGTGGAGACTGTAGAAAACATTTTACCTGTGCTCGGGCGCGGCCAGCAGCGTGCCGTAGTGCGCCAGCGCGCAGTACGACGCTAGAAACGCAGGCAGCGCGTGCGGCACTTGGCCGGCTGGTCGGAACTCGGCACTCGGGTCGCTGGCGGTAAGCGTGTAGAAACTAAAATAAGTTTAGACTGAAAATAGTTTACCTGTGCTCGGGCGTGGCCAGCAGCGTGCCGTAGTGCGCCAGCGCGCAGTACGACGCTAGCAGCGCAGGCAACGCGTGCGGCGCGTGGCCGGCGGGTCGGAACTCGGCGCCCGTGTCGCTCGCTATAGAAACTAACAGAAGTTTAGACTGAAAATAGTTTACCTGTGCTCTGGCGCGGCCAACAGCGTGCCGTAATGAGCCAGCGCGCAGTACGACGCCAGCAGCGCAGGCAGCGCGTCGGAACTGGGCACTCGGGTCGCTGGCGGCAAGCTTATAGAAACTAACAGTGGAGACTGTAGAAAACATTTTACCTGTGCTCGGGCGCGGCCAGCAGTGTGCCGTAGTGCGCCAGCGCGCAGTACGACGCTAGCAACGCAGGCAGCGCATGCGGCGCGTGGCCGGCAGGTCGCTGGCTGTAGAAACTATAAGAAGTTTAGACTGAAAATAGTTTACCTATGCTCGGGCGCGGCCAACAGTGTGCCGTAGTGCGCCAGCGCGCAGTACGACGCCAGCAGCGCAGGCAGCGCGTGCGGCGCGTGGCCGGCGTGGCAGCGCGCGTGGGCGGCGAGCGCGGCGCACGTGTAGAGCGAGGCGGCGCGGTCGCTGGCGGGTCGGAACTCGGCACTCGGGTCGTTGGCGGCAAGCTTATACAAACTAACAGTGGAGGCTGTGAAAAATAATTTACCTGTGCTCGGGCGCGGCCAATAGCGTGCCGTAGAGCGCCAGCGCATAAATACGACTGGTTCAGTAACGGCTAGCGTGCAGAATTTCAGCAATGGAGACTAATGCCTTATTGAACATTAGATTACCTGTGCTCCGGCGCAGCCAACAGCGTGCCGTAGTGCGCCAGCGCGCAGTACGACGCCAGCAGCGCAGGCAGCGCGTGCGGCGCGTGGCCGGCGTGGCAGCGCGCGTGGGCGGCGAGCGCGGCGCACGTGTAGAGCGAGGCGGCGCGGTCGCTGGCGGGTCGGAACTCGGCGCCCGGGTCGCTGGCGGCAAGCTTATAGAAACTAACAGTGGAGACTATAGAAAACGTTTTACCTGTGCTCGGGCGTGGCCAACAGTGCGCCGTAGTGCGCCAGCGCACAGTATGACGCTAGCAGCGCAGGCATCGCGTGCGGCGCGTGGCCGGCAGGTCGGAACTCGGCACTCGGGTCGCTGGCTGTAGAAACTAACAGAAAATTAGACTGAAAATAGTTTACCTGTGCTCGGGCGCGGCCAACAGTGTGCCGTAGTGCGCCAGCGCGCAGTACGACGCTAGCAGCGCAGGCAGCGCGTGCGGCACTTGGCCGGCTGGTCGGAACTCGGCACTCGGGTCACTGGCTGTAGAAACTAGTAGAAGTTTAGACTGAAAATAGTTTACCTGTGCTCTGGCACGGCCAACAGTGTGCCGTAATGCGCCAGCGCGCAGTACGACGCTAGCAGCGCAGGCAGCGCGTGCGGCGCGTGACCGGCGGGTCGGAACTCGGCACTCGGGTTGCTGGCTGTAGAAACTAACAGAAGTTTAGACTGAAAATAGTTTACCTGTGCTCGGGCGCGGCCAACAGTGTGCCGTAGTGCGCCAGCGCGCAGTACGACGCTAGCAGCGCAGGCATCGAGTGCGGCGCGTAGCCGTCAGGTCGGAACTCGGCACTCGGGTCGCTGGCTGCAAAGCTTATAGAAACTAACAGTGGAGACTACAGAAAACATTTTACCTGTGCTCAGGTGCGGCCAGCAGTGTGCCGTAGTGCGCCAGCGCGCAGTACGACGCCAGCAGCGCAGGCAGCGCGTGCGGCGCGTGGCCGGCGTGGCAGCGCGCGTGGGCGGCGAGCGCGGCGCACGTGTAGAGCGAGGCGGCGCGGTCGCTGGCGGGTCGGAACTCGGCGCCCGGGTCGTTGGCGGTCGGGTCGCGGGCGCCGCCGCACGCTGCGCTGAGCGTGCAAAAGCTTAGGGCTTTGCTGCCGCCGTATCTGCAAAGTAAACATGCGTATTAGTCTTCATCCTATACGTTTAATTCTTTAGTAACTAATAATTATTTTTAGTCTTCATCCTTTACGACCGGTCAGTTCTGTCGTCAGTACCGGAAAACGCAGCGTGGTACGTCCACCTACAAGGTGGACCGACGACATCATAAAAGTAGCAGGAAAGCGCTGGATGCAGGCCGCTACCAACCGGGTAACATGGAAAGCATTGGGGGAGGCCTATATTCAGCAATGGACATCCTATGGCTAAGATGTTGATGACGATGATCCTTTACGATACATTTTATTGTAACTGAGAACTACATAGGCTGAGTTGCCCCAACTTACTTCAACCGTAACTATAACAGTAACTGGTATTTTTTGTATGGAGTTTGACAGATATTTGAGGTTTGTTTAAGTTAAAGTAAGACGGTGCTCTGAACTGTCATAGAAGCCACATACTAAATATTCTAAGTTCGAGGAGTGAGAGTTATAATAAAGATCAAAATAGACTTACTTATCAACAACGACGACAGGTCCATTCTTGTACTCCATTTGACAGCCTGCGACGAACTCAATAAGCCCGAAGGAATCTCTATACGGTTGTATGAGCCTGTCTACCGCCGCTTCCCTCTCAGAATCACTCGCGGCCTCTTTCACGGCCCTCACAAACTCATTCTCATCGGGGTTCCCCGCCTTATACTCCGTGGTATCCCCATCTAACCACCCACTGCACTTGATAAACTTAACACTGAGTTGGTAGTCGTCTTGCAACGAGTGCACACTGACGTTTGTGACCTCGATCACGCGATCCGAAGGTATGCTGTCAGGAACTCGGTCCACTTTCTCGAACATGTAACACGGTCTCCGTAATTCGGCTTCCTCTTCGACAGTTAGAGCGGGGGCGACGGGCGGGGGAGGGGGGGCTACATCGGGGGGCGAGCCGCAAGCCCGGGACCCCCAATCGGGAAACTTGAATTTCGTGGGCGAACTCAACTTGAAGTTTTTGAGCGACATTTTCGACGGACTTCTCGGCGATTTGGGGCCGTTTTTCTTCGTTTCCGATAGCGAGGAGAATAGGTCCCCGTTGGCTATGGATTTCCGCGCAGATAGGTCCCTGTTTCCGCTGCTGAGACGTTCCAGTCTCAGTTCGGTTCTGTCGAATCTGTACGCGGGTTCGGCGTCGTTGACTGGCGAGCCGTTTTCTGGTATGAGTCTCTCGTCGTCCGCACAATCACTGCTTTCCTGCCTCCTATATCCGTTGGTCTCTGGTTCCACTGGGGTCTCTACCGGTGTTTTTCTTTCAGACTTACGGTACGCCACATAGATGTCCTTAGACACGAAACTAGCTCTGAAGTTTGCCACAAAGAGTTCTTTTTCTTCTTCCGTTGGCCAGAAAACTTCGCATTCCTGTAAAAGAAAGGGATATTAAAATTTACGTGATACGTGAGATTAAAAATGTTGCTTGCGGGATATATTTGATATTGTTATCTAACCATACACAACGAACAATCGTCATCATATTATGTTTATTGTCCATGCAATGTCATATAATCTCCACTCCACATTCTCTTCAACTAACGAGAGAAAAATTGATGATTTGGCCTGTAGGCCAAGGAATGTACTCCCCAGCTGGTCAAACGGGTTAGGGAGGCCTGACGTTCGCATATTTTTCCCTGAACAATTCAGCTCTTGAGACTCACCGGGTAATTCTCCGTGTCCGACAGCGTCAGCACCAGTTGAGCCGTGTGGTCCCACAGCAGCCGCCATGGATCCGGCACTGCCGCGGCGGTGGGGTATTGAGCCAGACTGATGAGCTGGTCCTATTGCTGACTCACCGGGTCATTCTCCGTGTCAGACAGCGTCAGCACTAGTTGAGCCGTGTGGTCCCACAGCAGCCGCCATAGANTATTGTTCTCAGGTCTGGAACCCTCGTTATAAGGTCCACTCTGACAGACTGGAATCCGTTCAACGTAGGTTTATGAGGTTCTTGCAGTACAAGTGTGGGATTCGTGATTCTGACTATGAGACCAGATGTCGTAGATTCCATATTTTACCCCTTAAACACAGAAGAGCAATTGCGGATATCATATTTTTAGTAAAAATCGCACAGAATTATATTGATTCTCCAGAACTGCTCTCGAAAATCTGTCTCAAAGTTCCAAATAGAACTGTTAGGCTCCCTATTTATTTAAATATCCCCCGCTGCAGTACCAACTACAGACAGAATTCATTCTTTTTGCGATCGGCATGTGAAGTGAACAAATTGGTTACCATTCCTGAACTCGATTTGTTTAACTCGAAACCAAATCTCTTTAGGGACACATTGGCTAAATCTTGGTTCGACGGTTCATCAGCTGTTTAATGTAGGTATAGATCTTAATTTAAAAATAACTCTCTCATGTAAGCGAATTGGCTTTTGTTGTATAATTGTATTGCTACACATATGCGAAAACATGTAAATGGTGTATAGTTTCTTAAGCAGTGGTTAATCTATTATTGTTTCACTGTATGTCCGTGTCCGACAGCGTCAGCACCAGTTGAGCCGTGTGGTCCCACAGCAGCCGCCATAGATCCGGCACTGCCGCGGCGGTGGGGTGTTGAGCCAGACTGACGATGAACTGGTCCTATTGCTGACTCACCGGGTCATCCGTGTCCGACAGCGTCAGCACCAGTTGAGCCGTGTGGTCCCACAGCAGGCGCCATAGATCCGGCACTGCCGCGGCGGTGGGATGCTGAGCCACTGCGTACTCGCGCGTCCGTCGCCGGCCACACACCCAGGATGCGTTGACGTATTCGCTGCCTGATTAGTGGGTAAACACAACGAGAAATAGAATTTGTGGTTGACACTGTTAGTTTTCGATATAGTATTATTTTTGTAAAGAAATCAAAATAACAGAACCCTTTTAATGCGAAACTTATGAGAATTTAATTCATTTCAAATGCATTGTAAGGATAGTTATGTAATGTAAAAAACAAAATAACTTCAGATTACGGCAACTCACTCATTACAGTATTTTACTCGTTCGCTCACTCATGTAATTTCAGTTACTCGCTCATTTAAGTTCAGTTACTCACTCATTCGTTCGCTTTATTGTGAAAACCTTCATAAGTCACTTTGAACTTGTTTTTGCCATAGACAATGGACATGACAAAGTTAAACTATAAAACACCACCTTAAACCACGTCTTCCTAATTTTAACCAATAGACTAACCTTCGACTCCCGGTTTTGGCACGAGCATGACCCGAGCGGCGTCAGAGGGCAATACTCCAGAAGGTCTGTTTTTGCTTGCGTTGTGGGCGGCGCGCGCGCAAACACTCGGCTCCACGCACGACCTTGTTATTAGCTGTGGATTTAAACTGTGTGAATAACACTAGGTTGGAAGAGTTAACGGGGATATTCGTAATTTAATAAGTTGTAGGTAGTCATTTTAAAAATAAAAAAGTCCTTAGAATACCTATGCTGCCAAAATCTTGATCAGTTTCTGGGCACATATTCAAAATCCAGAACTTTCAACAAACCAGAGGTGGAAACCAGAGGTGGGTGGTGGTGCAGTTCATAACGTACGATTATTCTGTCAAACGCTTTGTTTAACTGACTTTATCGTACGTTATGAACTGTCAAATGATAACGATTGCTTTACACAATTCCACCTCTAAATAATTGCACACCAATCTAGGTACGGGACTAATCCCACCTCACGTTTCCACCACTGTAACTTCTGTCAGCTACACTAAAATCTTAGGCGCCAATGAAACCCAGTCAATAGGCAAAAGGATGGACTGGTAGTGAAATAGATATGTGAAAAAAAACATACATACATCCGAACATATAACCTCTTTTTTTAAGTCGGTTAAAAAAAACCTAGTAATAGTAATATACAGGGTGTTTGGCGCATCGTGTGCCAAAATGATTTGGCGGATAGAATGGGTCATTTCCTATATTTTNTCGGTGTGCGAGCCCGACTCGCACTTGGCCGGTTTTTTTACATAATAATTATTTCTGAATATTTTTATTGAAAAAATAAGTTTTTTATTGATATCTACCTTTATTACTGCATGTTTCGATATTGTCCTGTTTTATATATCTAATAAAATAAAACAAATTGAAGTTTTATGATGATAATTTGTAGCGGGATACGAACCCACGGTGCTGGATATTGAGCGTCGGCTGTGATCATTGTGCTACTTGGACTTCATTACACCGTGTCGAAATTTTCAATAGCGTCTCTAATCTGTTTTTTGCTTAGTTACATGCCTTCATAAACAAAGCAGTAAACTTATTGGCTTTAGCGCCATCTTTTGACATATCACGCCAAATAAATACTCCGCTCAAGTTGCTAGAATAGAAAGCATTAGCGGGTCGCAAACCGCGGGACGGTCAAGTCCGCTGCGGCACACTAGCGCGATCTGTTATCACCACTAGGAAACCAAGCGGGCCCGAGCAGTTTCAAGACTTAGGTCGGCCACATTTCGAGTATGGGATGATGCATCTGTACTAGTATTATATTATCTGTGGTTTTAGTCAAGGTAATTTTTTTGGGACAGTTAATTAAGGGAAAATTATTTTTTTTTTTTATAGGAACAGCTTATCGCCCTCCGTGGCTTGGTGTGGACATTTTTATTGACGCTCTTACTCAGTCAGTTGGCGCTCTCTCAATGTTCGATCACATTATTCTTGTTGGGGATTTCAATATTAATATGCTTGCTATCAATGATACTAACACAAAAAAGCTCACGGATTTCTTTCGGTCCTTAAATTTGGAACAATATGTAACTCTACCAACTCATTTCACAGATCATTCCGAGACACTTATAGATATTGTCTGTAGTACCATCAAAATACCGAAAATTAACGTTGATTATATCCCTGATTTAAGCAGTCATGCCTTTATCTCGTTTAGAATACGCCTTAACAAACCTAAAACGCCTTCAAAATTTATATGTTACAGGCCTCTTAAGGATATCAATCTAGACGAGTTTGATGCGTTTGTGAATTGTATTCAATGGGAAAAAAACCGGCCAAGTGCGAGTCGGGCTCGCACACCAAGGGTTCCGNAGTTTGATTATGAACGTGCGGTTTACTTTGATGTAAACTCACACTAAGCCCCTGCTCTGAGCTTTTATCGGTCGATAGTTTAATCGCCTAGGCGCAGACCACCGACCTTTTGTCGGCTGATAGTTGGGTCGGGCTGTTAATCAGTATGGAGATGTATGAAAGTGCGCACATTACACCGATTTGGTATCGGCCGATTCTTCATACAAATTAGAATCGGGACCATCTATCGGCCGACTAAGTCTGTAGTCTGCGGAGACTCTTAGGGGATGGATTACCAAAAATTCCTTATAAAAAAAAAACAAGAAGAAGGCTTGCAAGAAGGCTTTTAAAAAGCACTTTTACACGTCCCCGTAAGTGCTAGAGGACTGCTCGGTGCTTCTTTACGAGATCGAATCAGAAAATAAGGAGATCCGTAAACGAACTAAAGTTGCTGACTGCCCGTCGGATTAGCAAGCTGAAGTGACAATGGGCAGGGCACATAGTACGCAGAACTGACGGCCGATGGGGCAGCAAGGTTCTGGAGTGGAGGCTAACTACCAGAAAGCGCAGCACAGGACATTCACCTACATGGTGGACCGACGATCTCATAAAGGTAGTAGGAAGGCGCTGGATGCAGGCCGCTACCAAACCGGTCAATATGTAAATCATTGGGGGAGACCTATGTTCAGCAGTGGACGTCCCGTGGCTGAAATGATGAAGGTAATGACTCTTCTAAAAAACGCTATTATTTTAGCATAGCAGTATTAAGTTAATATGTATTGTAATGGGTTATCCATTAAATAACTTAACTCAACATCATCATCATCTCAGCCATAGTACGTCCACAACTGATTCTGCTGAACATAGGCCTCCCTCAATGCTTTCCATGTTGCCCGGTTGGTAGCGGCCTGCGTCCAGCGCCTTCTTGCTACCTTTATGATTTCGTCGGTTCACCTTGTGAATAACTTAACTGTTTCATTAAATTAATAATGTCCTGCTAGCTGCTATATTATATTTTTTAGAGGTCTTTCTTTTTATTTAAATTCTTCTTTTTTAAACAAAAACTTTTTAAATACGCCACAAAACGCATGTTAATGCGAGATCCAGCACAGCTATTAAGGTTTTAAAATTGGAATCCGCGATCGTCCGACTACAAAAACGACGATCTGACAAACGATTCAAGTAGGGATGGCGATCTGAAATAAATAATCGAGTTATCGATTTAAAAAATATTGGCAATGATTTTTACGTACGTACGACGTTACGAGATAACAAAAATATAGTTAAAACTAGCGACCGCCTGCGACTTCGTACGCGTGGATCCCGTTTTACCCCCTTAGGGGTGGAGTTTCGTAAAATCCTTTCTTAGCGGATGCCTACGTCATAACATCTACCTGCATGCCAAATTAGCCAAATCCGGCCAGTGGTTTGGGCTGTGCGTTGATAGATCACTATGTCAGTCAGTCAGTCACCTTTGAGTTATATTTTATTAATATTTATATAAATCTTAAATATTTTAAAAATGCAACTCTCGTTTATTTGACTTCACGTGACCTACACAAAGAGTAAATTGCTTCACATGCATTAAATGAAATAATTTATGTATAATTTATTTAAAACTTTTTGCAAATGAAATGTACTAAGGGTGGACTTAAGCTAGAAGCATTCTCCACCAGTCAACCATTTTTGGTCCGAGCCTCTTTTCATATTAAACATCAAAAACCATTTTTAAAAAATTTACCTTCAATTTTATTTTTTTAAGAGCCTGATTTTCCCTAATCCCCAACAATTTATTTAAATCGAACTTTTCAGTCACGTTCCCCATCCCTAATCGTCCGAAGCGACCCCAAACATACACTTTTGATCCTTAATTGGTGCGCTCTGATTGGCTGACGAGCGAGAGATTCACCGTTCTGCGCTGTGATTGGTCGACGCGTTTCGCCCCGCCCGCCGGATTATAGTGGGATGGGGTGAGAACAGATTGAGGTTTGATACTTGCGATTATAAAGGGTGAATAGTCTGGAGTCTGGAGCGAGTTGAGAAATTTGAATTATTTTAACGTTCATTCGTTTCAGCCAAATGACGTCCACTAGCGACGACCGGTCCTGCACTGCCTGCCAGGTACTTCCCGCGACCTTCACCAGATCGTCGGTCCACCTAGTAGAATTAATTTTCATACTTAAATCTAAATAAAGTGTGCATGAATATTCAGTTTTTTTGGTCTATGTATTTACATAATAATGTGTAATCTGCTGTCTCTTTACTTGTAGTATCTACTTACTCAAAAGCTTTTCATAGATTTGTCACTAGATGGCTCTGTGTAAATGAGAAGTTTTTATAACTTAGGTTAATAAACGAGTTACGAGTACACCACTTATGAGAGATGCAAAACTAAAGAAACAATAAGTAGTAACCCAGCAGTGGACGTCATTTGGAATTTATGGCTGATATTTCAACCGTGAAATATCTTTTATCAAGAATAAGTGTCATTTTGAACCAATTTTTTCCCGTGCAGATATTGTCAATAGGCCAATTTTATTCTTCAGTGAAAAGTTGTTCGATGATTGAAAATCATCCTTTACTTATTATAACTTTTTTACTGCTTTTTAATACTTGAAAAACACGTTTTCCTTGTTTAAAAACGAAATAAACTTTAAATTTTTCAACAAGTATCAAAACCGCTTCGTCGGCGTACACGCTCGTCCCGGATGATGCAGGCTACATCTTGCAAGCAGATCATACGATATGGTGTTAGAGTGTTGGTATGTTGTGACATAAGGCTGGGGACACACTGTTGGGTAAGTATAATGGCTTTACAAATTATCATTTTTACAATGTAAAAAGTACACAAGTAGTACCTACAATATTTTTAGCATTAGTAATTGCCCTGTGAGTAGTTGTTGTATTCCATGCCACATAGCTCTACACGAAGCCTTACAACCTGTGGTCTAGTGGTAAGATCACCTGTCTCAGACTGAGTTCCCTGGTTCGATTCCCAGTGGCTGCAAAAATTTCTGCTCGATATCTAGCTACCAGAATCTTACCTAATTCTGAAGCCATAACAATTAGGTATGTTTAGATAATTTTTGTAGTGCCTTTGCCAATTCCTCTGTTCTGGGAACGTGATTACTGATTTAACGACTGAAGCAAATAAATAAAGAAAGAGAAGAACTCTAAAGTTTCGCGTACGTCGATAGTAAGAACAAAATGTCTCAATACTACATAAATATCGCACCTACGGTGCAATAACGTCACTTATGCAATTTTTTCAAAACTTAACTGAATCAAAGTAAACCAAGTAAAGAGGTAGATTGGAGTATTTTCTCATAATCAGTGAAGTTTTGAAAAAAAAAATGCATAAGTGACGTTATTGCACCGTAGGTGCGATATGTTTACATTAGTTTAGTTCTTGCAACTCACGAAGGCGAGTAAGCTTTACTTGTGTGTGTACGTATACATGCACATAACGAACGATAGTGTAATGTCTATCAAAACTTTTGAAAAACAAACAGTAACGAGCCACCACACGTGTAAAGCTCACTCGCCTTCGTGATTGCAACGACTATACTTTTACAGCTTGTCTTTTCGGAAGTGTTGCTACAGACGTTGTCACAAGCAGTCCTAAAACTTTAGACAGATAGAGTTTCAAATATTTTCAGCCGTATTCACAAGTAAAACTTTAGACAGCAGTTTAGAAGTTCTAGAGCTGTCTCAGAATCATTTCTCTCAGTTTGAAATATTTCAACAGTAATGGAAAATATTTCAAAGGCTACAGTGTGCACCAAAGCTTACACAAACGCGCGCTATCTCTGGCAAATTTCGATGGAATCTTTCAATTTGACGCTGGCAGCGTACCAATAACGGAGTTAATAAATTTAATCCTGATACGTAACATATACGGTACGGAGTTCGCCGGGGCAGCTATCTGAAGTATTTGGAAGAGAACAACGGGCCTCAGACTCGTTTAGAGTTTGTAAAGTTGTTGCAATTCACGAAGACGAGTGAGCCTTACATGTGTGGTGGCTCGCTACTGTTCGTTGTTCAAAAGTTTTGACAGACATTACACTATCGTTATGTGCATGTACACACACAAGTAAAGCTCACTCGCCTTCGTGAGTTACAAGAACTACAACAGCCCCCCTAGACAAAACGCACTTTTTGATCGAATCGAAAATCGAATCCGTCAAAACTCCATACAAAAAAAGGGCTTTTCGACCACTTATCGACTGGTTTGCGATTTTATTTTGCACTTTGTCTAGACCCACTGCTCTAGCTAAAGTCTTTGGAGTCTTTATGTAGATACCACAGATTAGAGAGTATGTAGATACTGCTCTAGGTTCGATAAACAGCAGCGTCAAATAGTTCGTGACACCCAAAGTGGCCAAAAAGTTGACAACACAACCTTATTCCAATGAGGGCTATCGTTTTTATCAAATCAAATCAAATCAAATCAAATCAAATCAAATCATTTATTGCATTGCATTACATGTGGTTTGATAGTTGGTGAATGGTAGGGCTATACTTACCAGTTGGCACCCCTGGCGATTGACAGGACCTTACTCTACAGTGGCGCCATCTTGATGAGTGCAAATGCGATAGTCCTCCTACCACTTTAGCGCTCACAAGTTGGCGCCACTGTCTTCGCTACTAGCAAGTGACAGGACCTTACTCTACAGTGGCGCCATCTTGATGAGTGCAAATGCGATAGTCCTCCTACCACTTTAGCGCTCACAAGTTGGCGACACTGTCTTCGCTACTAGCAAGTGACAGGACCTTACTCTACAGTGGCGCTAACTGGTGAGCGCTAAAACGATAGCCCTCATTGTAACAAAGACGTGTTGCGAACTTTTTGGCTACTTTTGGTGTTACTTACCTATTGTTTGGCATTAAGTTCGCCTTTTTTTACTGCTTTTTTGTGCAATAAAGTTTTTAATAAAGTAAAATTATTGTTGTTGTAGGTAGAACCTATTTTGGGATAAATTGGGATATTTGCCGGTGGCGAAATCGTCAATTATATTCTTTAATAGGTAATCAACTAATGTTAACGACACCATTATTGACAATTCTACGACAACTTCTAAAAAAAATTTTACTCTCATGATAAAATGTAGCCTTTATAATATCTACCATAACCATACCAATAATAACTGTTAATGTGCAGAGAATGCCCAGTGGAATTAGGTACCAATTATATAGCATTAAATAATAAATAATTAAATAATATCACTAGTTAAGAAAAATATGAGCTATGTTACTTGTAATGTGTGGGAATAAAGGACTTACGAGTTGAAAAAAATAAGATGTCTTGAAGAAAAATGGTTTTCTTGGAAGAGAAGGAGAAAAATGGACTGCGATCAACTATTTCTATGTATGTCAATTAAGCAATTTAGTAAAAGAAAATCTACTGGACCGAGTATTAAATCTATGATCATGTTCACTCAAATTAAATGGGCTATAAAAAATCGGTTTCAATTCGGCCCTTTTTGCAAAACTGCCAAAATCTGTGGCGCGGACTATACAAAAAGGTTCTATCGCTAAAGCACCGAAAATCGATTGCAAACCCACTCAATCCATATCCCAGACTCATCTGCAGACGATCTGCTTAAAAAAGTGTATCCACCCCACCCCCAACCCCTTGGGGCGGGATAGGGGATGTAAACGCCCCTACACAGCAGTATTACCCCGTCTGTGGAGCAAACGAGCCGTTCGCCAACACAAAATTAAATCGATTAAAACATTTTGTTGGACCGCCACCCGATTGTGGTTTGCCGCGAAAATTAATCGCGCGTGATCTGTGGCGATTTAAATTTTTCGAATCTTTTTTTTTATTTTCGGAAAAGAGTCTTTGGAGGCTTAGAAAAAATGTGGTTTTATGTGAAAATTAAAATGTGATTGAATTTTAAACAGTGAAAAGAAAATCTAGTGCATCTTTTTTAATTAATTAGTGAAAATTTCAGTGACCTAAACCTGACCGAGTTTTACGGAATTTAAAAAACTTTTTTGTTGTTTTACGACAAATTTTTAAAGAAAAAAATTAAAATGTCAGTTTCGAAAAACGAACGCAAATACCGCTAAATTGAAAAATGGAACAGGAAACGAGAAGTGAATCGCCCATAGACACTAATAGACAAGAGCAATCTACAAAAACCTCGTTTTTGATTGAAGACATTTTGTACAGAGGACAGCAAAATAGAAATTTGAAGACTCCTGTAGCAGACACTAGGCGGAATTTTGAATATGAAAGACCGGATCCGAAGCCCTATTTCCCTGTACCAAATGAAATAAGGCCTCACGTGCCCAGAGAAGGGTCGTACCTTCAGGTCGCGATGGGGGCACTTGGAGCTTACCTACATACGCCTAATACTTATAAAACTGTGGAAGCGCCGTATTTTTTGTCACAAGGTTTGTACCTACTTGCATTTTTTATACTACCTATACCTACTCTTTGCACTACACAAAATTAACTTACAAGAAATATGACATTGGAAGAGCAGTCGCCCAGCAAGCGGAAGGTCGTGGGTTCGAGTCCCGCCTTAGGCAGTTCGATTTTTTCAAGTTGTTTATTTAAAATTTTGTTTGAGAAGCGACTCAATTCGCTAAGAAATATTAATAATAGTTACCTATGACATTGGATTTGGCACAATTTAACCAGTCTTATCTTTCCGATAACTCGTGACAATTAAGTGAGCAGTTGTTTGAAATAAAAGGGTGAAATAGTGGAATTATCTTCCTCGTTAGGTTTTGATTATACCCTGGGCATCATTTTTTGTGATGACAATATTTTGTGTTTCGGAGAAAACGGCGGGCTATCTTTTTAATAAGTTTTCGTATCGCGTCATAAGAATTTGATTCATAGAACACTATTGTACGCCACAGAGAACAACAAAAAAAAGAAATATTAAAAAGAGACGGCACTTATCGCTATGAAACATGAGAAAGTTTTTTCTCCTATTGGATTTTTCCTTGTCGACAAAAACAATAATTGGTCAAATACCATAGTTATCAAAATTGGATCCGTGGTTTATTTAGCCTTGAAAAATACGATGTGAATAACAATAAACACCTTCTAACTACCTACTATTTAAGTTTAATTAACGGAAAGCAATTTTGCTTTGTAATTGTATAGTTTAATAAAAAAAATAAGCGACTATTGCTGGCTATTAGGTAAAGAAATATGTGGCAGGGAAAGTTTATAAATCGAAAGAAGGAAATAGAGAAAACACAAAAATGTCGCGTTGAGACCAAGTTGAGACCCGTGTTTCTCTATTTTAAATGAAGAAAAACTTATTATCCTTCAACAATTGCTTTGGATTGGAGCATTCAATGTAATACTAGCTTTTGCCCGCGGCTCGCCCGCGAATTCTATCACAGAAAAGTTTTACCGCACTCGTGTTCACCTTTAAAATATAAGATAAAATATGGGATTAATACAAAAATCTATTAATTCATCCTCACAAACTTTCACTTATAATAATAGTGGGATATAATCGTTATGCCCAACTAGTGCCTTGAGATAAAAAGAAATGCCCCAAAAACTCAGTCAAACTTTCAAAAAAGTAACTGAAATAAAAAATACTAATCCTAATTTTTGTGTTTCGCAAAAGCTTTTTTGCTACAGTGAAGTAATTTCGTGGACGTTTTCGTAGTAGTTACGACATTCCGTAGTATCTACAATAATTCTCAGCATCTACGAAATATATCACAGCGTCTACGAAAATTCGTAGCAGCTACGTTTCGTATCTCGTGTTCCACGTTTCTCTGGCGCGCCTCTAAAGTGATTTTCTTGCTGGAACCAAACTTTGTTAAAATCGATGGTGCTCATTTCAAATATTGTAAAGGTGAAACCATGGGGTGAAAAGATTTCTTGCCGGGAAATTGAGGCGTCATAATTTAGCAGTTTTGTTTCATAAAATTTGTTAATGTGTAATAAATGGTGTATTAAGTACTAGCGGCCGCCCGCGACTTAATCCGCTTGGATCCCGTTTTAAGCATGTATTTAAATGATCTTTTTAAATTAGCAAAAACGGCAAATAAAAAAATCTAAATGGTCATCTATTTTAATGATTAATCCTCTTTCTTTGAGACATAAAATAAATGAAATCGATCGATATTTTAACCTCTTTTGAACTACGCAAAAAAAATTTGAGATGTAAAGATTATATCTGATCGTTACTTGTTGGTCCTCAAAAATAAAAGAAATGAGCACCAAATATTCAATATTGTGATACTTTTTTAAATAATTCGATTTGTATAAATTATTTTTTGTCTATATCAAATAATCTTCAAAATAATTATGTTATGGTACTTATTTTTATTAAGTTGTAGTCAAAGGATGGAAACTATTTAAAGGCACTTGATGTTCAAAGATTTTTTTTTATTAAAAAAGCATACTTAACACGTTCACNAAGCGAGCAAGCAAGCTAGCATGCAGGCAAGCAAGCTAGCAAGCAGGCAAGCAAGCTAGCAAGCAGGCAAGCAGGCAAGCAAGCAGGCAAGCAAGCAAGCAAGCAAGCAAGCAAGCAAGCAAGCAAGCAGGCAAGCAAGCAATCAGGCAAGCAAGCAAGCAAGCAGGCATGCAGGCATGCAGGCATGCAGCATGCAAATTTGACTAAAAACTTGAGACTTCTGTCACGGCTCCGGCACTGCGGGGCTCTGGCGGTCCCTCGCGTGCTAATCGTCGCAGATGGCTTTCGCTCGACACCGCGTCTTCCCCCCTCCGTGCCTACGCGCTTCTAAATTACACTCTAGGGGTAGGGCAGACAAGACTACGTGGAGTCGGTTTTACGGCGATTCGTTTTTGCCACTAAAGTCATTTATAAGTCAAGCTAAAAAAGAACATACTTAAAGTTATCTATATCTATCATAAATTATATCAATTAAAGAGTATAACAAATAATATTTATTATAACAAGTAATGGTTATGTGAAATAATATTTATATTAAACAAAATTACATTAAATGAGTCTTAGATTAAGTAAGGTTTATATCAAATGTCTTTATGCGTTGTGATTGGTATCTGAAATGATATTATTAGAAATGATTTATTATATGAAGAAAACATTATATGTTAAAAAATTATATCAAGTGTTATTATAACATACGTTTATTATATAATATGAACGTTATTGAAATGAATTTATATCATATAAACTTATATAAACTGTCACGCACCCGCTAAGCCAACTCAGTAACCAATGATGGACGATTGTCACTCAACCACAAAGTACCGCATAAATTAAAAGATATTTTTTAATTAAAAATATTAACCAATAATATTTTTTGCTAGATCAAATATATTTTAAAGTTAAGTTATACATAGATCGACATTTGTATTTATTAGGTGATCGATATTAAAAGGCAAACTTGATATAAAAATCATCAAATTAACAAAATTAAAGATCAATAACTAAAAAAGAGGATCAAATATTATTTTACCTTTAATGAAGTTCATTCATAATTTATCCGTAGATCAATTAATATAGACCCAATAATTAATATAAAGGTAAAATATATAAAAAACATCATAAAATTTATTTTTAAAAGTGCACATACAAAAAAGATCAATTAGTTTTTAGAGGATCAAATAATATTGTCCCCCCGTTTTATACCCTTAGGGGTGGAGTTTCGTAAAATCTGTTCTTAGTGAGCATCTACGTTCTAAAAGGAAAATTTCAGACTCCTTGCACTTGTAGTTTCTGAGATTTCGTGATGAGTGAGTCAGTCAATCAGTGACCTCTCGCTTTTATAGAATTAGATTATTAATTTATTATAATTATAAGATTTTAAACTTTCGCGTTCCATTTCAACTAAAGTACTCTCCAGTCTGCTTGTGACCGCGGCTGCAGCATAGCAGCCGAAACGTCATTTATAAACGTCGCGTGTCTTTTTATTATATTATAATTAGTAGGAAGTCGGATAGGGTTAGTAGGATAGGAAGATTTGGAAGTAAGATCGTACAACCCGGACTAAGTAAAATGTGTTTTCAGGGGTCCCGTACCACGCGTTGTTCACACCCTCCGAGCTGTCACTCTCGGCACTCAAGCACTGTCGCCGGAGGAAGGCGAGGACCGTGTTCTCCGACCCTCAGCTCACTGGTGAGTCCTGTTACTTATTGTTAGTGAATAGTTCAATTTAGAAAGTAAAGGCCTCTCTTACCATTTTCTAAATTATAATGTATATGTAACCAACCACCTCTGTGGTCTAGTGGTAAGACCACCTGCTTCAGAGGCAGAGGTCCCGGGTTCGATTCCCAGTGGGGGCATATTTTTCTGTTCGGTTTGGTTGGTGGTAGGGCTTGTTCTAAGTCCGCCTGGCTAGCTACCACCATCTTACCTAAGTCTGTCGCCATAACAACAATGTTAACAGCATTGTTGTGTTCTGGCAGTTAGAGGTAAGATAGCCAGCTCTTCCGTGGTTGAGGATTCCGGGTGAAGCTCGCTTCCACCTTCGGCCTGATCCTCACTTACCATCAGGTGAGATACAGGCCAAGAGCTTCCTCGTTGTGGATTAAAAAAAATTGTATAACTCAAAGGTGACTCACTGACTGACTAATATAGTGATCTATCAACGCACAGCCCAAACCACTGGACGGATCGGGCCGAAATTTGGCATGCAGGTAGATCCGCATCCGCTAAGGAAGGATTTTACAAAACTACAGCCCTAAGGGGGTAAAACGGGATCCACGCGTAAGAAGTCGCGGGCGGCAGCTAGTGTCCGAGTAAAGTTCGATATAAATAATGTAAAGTGCGAGTAAAATAAGAAGTATTTTAGCATTATTCAGCCCCCCTATACAAAACGCACTTTTTGATCGAATCGAAAATCGAATCCGTCAAATCTCCATACAAAAAAGGGGCATTTCGACCACTTTTCGACTGGTTTGCGATTATAATTTGCACTTTGTCTAGACCCACAGATATGGTGACATTCGATAAATTGCTACTCGTGACTTAGCAACGAATAACACTTTATGGTAACACATAACAGGAATTTTGTTTTTAAAGGGGTCACTTAAAAATTAGGGATTGATGGTGAAAATGGGCATAAGTAAGACTATCAAATAAGCCGTGGTCACGTTAACTATTTCTTTAATCTCAAGTCGGTGTGTCTTAACTTACAGCTTGTAGGTTAACTTAACAGTGGTTTTTTTATACCAAAACAAAAATTGAAAGAGCTCACCAGAATGAGAATAAAATCACGACACCGCAACATGTGAAACGGCATTAAAACAAAGCTCTAATAAATATAAATTGCTCGCGGGTTTTCCTTGCTTTAAATTCAGTGTGAACCATTGAACTTAAATTACTGACGTAGTATTATCTAAGGCTGGGTTGCAACATCTTACTTTAACTTTGACAAACTGTCAAACAAAAAATCTGTCAAACTTCATACAAAAACCAGCGGTTATCGTCATAGTTACCGTTAACGTTAGGTGGTGCAACTCAGCCTAAGACGTGATTGGTCACGAAATGGAACGTAACGGATTTCGGTGTTTTTTTTTTCTAACTTTGTACTTACTTACTAACAAGTAAACATTCTCCACCAGGTCTAGAAAAGCGCTTCGAGTCCCAGCGCTACCTATCAACGCCCGAGCGCGTGGAGTTAGCTGGAGCCCTCAACCTGTCTGAGACCCAGGTCAAGACCTGGTTCCAGAACAGACGGATGAAGCACAAGAAGCAGATGCGGAAGCAGCAGCAGCAGAGAGGTAAAGTTTGCTGATAAGATAGCCTTTTATCAACAGGTTATGTAGTCTCCACTAAGGGAGCACGACTCTCTGTAGCTTACCAGAAGCAAATAGTTAATAGAGGTTTTCGAACTCCTCCTATGTTTCTGATTGATTATTTTCGTTCCGGATTCAATGACAGCTGCGGCTGAACCATTTAAGAACCTAGTAAGTGCAGCGGAGCAAATTTTACAGGAGAGCGAAAAAACGCATTTTCATTTGCCCTGCTAAGATGCTTAAAGATTTGGATAACTTCTGATGTTTATGTTAAAGATTAGTTACTAAAGTATACTTTATGGAATAAAAGAATATATTTAGTTAAAAATTGCAAGTTTTATGCTCTTTACTAACACTAAAAGTTATTTTTTTGACAAAAGTGCCTCGTAAAAATCAAAATCAAAATCGAATATGAATCAGTACTCATGTAGTCCCCAGATTTCGATATGGTTATCGAGTGTCAGGTAAGTCACATTGACCATTTTGAAACCTAGTAAGTCCATGCACTTCTAGGTTTTAAATGGTCATTGTAACTTGCTAGGTTTTGATAATGGTTTTTGCAGATTTGAATTGGACTTACTAGGTTTTTAGCAACGCGTTTCTCCGATGTTAAGTGTAATAGAGCGATTTCTGTCTTCACATCCTGTGGAGACCTTAATTCTAAGGTGATTTATGACAAAAAACGAAAATCTGCAAAAGTGTCCCTTACTAGGTTCTTAAATGGTTCAGCCGCAGCTTTCACCGGCACACTGACCGGGATCCTAGCTACACAGGAGTTGCAGCGGTGGAATCGAGAGGTTTTATCGTCTTATCATTTAGTCTCCACTTGCTTAAGTGAAGCAGCAAATCGAACGCACAGTATTGAATAAAGCTCTATGATTGTTTCGTGTGTGACCCTGTGCATCCACGCGCACTGTGAGACCTCATAGTAATGTTTGTGAATACGGGCGTAAGTCTCCACTGCACGAGCACGACTCTATCTAGGTAGGAAGTTTACCAAAAGTAATTGTAGGGTATGGATGGCCTGATGTTCGCATATTTTGTCCCTTAGTCGCTTTTTACGGCATCTAAGAGAATAGTGGTTATGGTTCTATTGGAAAAATCATTTTCTAACCGACCCTTTTTTACTTTCGGTCCAGTGTAGGTAGTTAGTAGCGTAGCAAGTCCTATGCCCGTTTTCACCATCATTCCCGAACTTTTAAGTGACCCCTATGACAACAAAAGTCATATTATGTGTTACCATAGGGGTCACTTAAAAATTAGGGATTGATGGTGAAAACGGGCACTAGTATTTCATATGGGCCCCTAAAGCCTACCCTAGAGTTACTAAAACCCTAAAGAAAAACTGTAGAACTTAAAAATTATACAACGTGTAAAGTTGCAACAGTCCCCATACATATTGAGCTGTGAACCGAGCCAAAACAATTATCTAAGAGAATGGTTCCAACTTCTAACAATTAAAACTTTGAAGGGTAAACTTGCCGGCACACGGTCTTGTGACTTGTTTGAACTAAAGAGAGGAACCATCTTAGGCTGAGTTGCACCACCCAAATTTGACCGTAACTATGACGATAACCGGTGTGTTTTGTATGGAGTTTGACAGATATTTGACGTTTGTCTCAGTTAAAGTAAGATGGTGCAACCCAGCCTTAGTTTGTTTTACATGTGAAGTTTAGAGAGAGATATCTGGAATCGGATCGGCTCTCCTTGTCCTATTGGTTGGTTCTCGGTCGCGATATTGCACAATATTTAAAGCTCTTTTTCTCCACTCTCTCAGCTCATTTAGGTAGCTCTTTCTCGCAACCATAAAAATAACGCCTTATTAAATCTATACTAATATTATAAATGCGAAAGTAACTCTGTCTGTCTTGCTTTCACGCCTAAACCACTGTACCGATTTTGATGTTTGGCATAGATATAGTTTGAGTCCCGGGAAAGGACATAGGATGGTTTTTATCCCGGCCGCGGGCGGAAAGCTATTAATAACTATAAAGTTTCAATTCAGTAGTTTTTGCGTAAAAGAGTAAAAGTTAAAATTAATATTTAGTTCTAGAAAGTGTCATTTGGCATTACCTACGTATGTTAATGTTGACTCAAAGTGCTTAACTTAAGAGTGATTGATTGAATTGTCTCGGTATCCTTAAAATTACTTTCTTTGTAATCAAAAATATGTTTTCTCATACAATATAATACCTATACTTTAGATAGTTTGTTATTAATGTAGTTCAACTCTATTTGTTACATAATTTGTCAGTTTCTATTGGCTATTAAAGGTAACCAACGGTATCGACCGACGGATCGGGCTGAAATTTGGCATGCAGGTAGATGTTATGACGTAGGCATCCACTAAGAAAGGATTTTACGAAACTCCACCCTAAGGGGGTAAAACGGGATTCACGCGTACGAAGTCGCGGGCGGCCGCTAGTTTGTTACATAATTTGTCAGTTTATATTGGCTGTTACAGGTCACTAACGGTATTCTGATATCGTTGAGAAAAAAAATGTTTAGTAGAAAATTATTTCATTTCACGAATCCAATTCATTTGTTTTAGTTCCAAATTAATTACCTCCAACCAACTACGAATCCAGCTTGAATACGTAATTACCAACATATAAACGTAACGCTATAACGTTACCGTTATTTTAATATTCCGATTACAGCTCATTAGGTGTGCCAGCCTTTATGAAGCGAAGTTTAATAATTTTAATTAATCAATTACGAAAGGCTGGTAATTTCGACGAAGCGCCATTTTGTACGGCATTCTGGGAAGGGAATCGCTGTGTTTACACAATTTACTAGCATTTGCCTTCGGTTTTGCCTATGGTTTTCGCATTTGTGGTTTTTCTGAGTAATTTTCCAAATTTGTTCTTTAATAGGAAACTTTTTCGGGCTTCAAAGAATTTAATAAGAAAAAACTTTTTGCAGCCGCTCTCGAGAATAGAGATGTCGCTTAAAAAATGGTGTTAAAATACCGTTGTTTCATATCGTTGTTATATTTAGTAAAACAATATTTAGGGAGTAAATGATGATTGTTTTTCTTTTGGTAACAACATTAAGGCTTACTTTAACTATGAAAAACATAAAAAATCTGTCAAATTCCGTACAAAAAGCACTGGTTATTGTTAAGTTACGGTTAAAATAAGGTGGTGCGACTCAGCCTAAAAGTTTTTCCGTAAAGCGTTTTCGCGCGAAAAGGCGTTCTGACGGATAAAAATCCACACAAGGCAAGCTGGAATAAGATAAGACTATCATAAATTGTATTTTTGTCCATTATTTCGTAAATTGAAGCATCAGCCAACACACTTCGTTCAGTAATTGACGTTGCAACCTCAAAGATTCACAAATTAAATTCCGCCATCTTCGGGCCGCAACCAAGACGTTGTCAAAACTTAGTTACGTGCAAGATGGCCGTCTTCGTTGCCATGGCAACCGCCAACATCTTAGATCGCCGCCAAACGAAAATTCACCTTGTAACCTGGTAGAAACGTCGGAAATGGAATGATAAGTGGATATTTTTCAAGCGTAGGGAGGTGCTGGAGGTGAAACATGGGATATTGAGTTTTAATGCTTGAGGTTATAACCGAAAATGGTGTGGTAACGGTAATTGAATAATAGAGTCGTATGATTTTTACGGTGGCAGAGGGATGCTACCTATACAGTTTTCAGTTTATGATCAGTGATGGTTTATTTCTCGTACCTATATGCTCACAACGAATACTGACGGATTTCATTGCTTGGTATTATACAGGATGACTGGAACTTGACGCGCCACAGCAAATTCTCATGTAGAGGTCATATTTTGCGAAATATTGGACCATTTACCTAGGGAAAGTTTAAAACAACTTTCCAAAAATAACAACCTGTATCATCATCATCATCATCATCTCAGTCATAGGACATCCACTGCTGAACACAGGCGTCCCCCAATGCTTTCCATGTTGCCCGGTTGGCAACATGGAAAGCATTGGGTGCCTGCGTCCAGCGCCTTCCTGCTACCCTAAATGATGTCATCGGTCCACCTTCTGGGAGGACACCTATATAAAAGTTACCAATATCAATTCTTAAAATTTTTATTTGTCTACAGGGACAACAGGGATGGATTTCACCTCAAAACACGCGTCCCATCTAGCAGATAATAGAAAGGTAAGTAAGTCGAAAACTCGGAAAATAAATACTTAGTTTTTGGTTTTCACTAGATTAATATTATTGTGATTTTTTTGCGCTGCTTCTCAGCCTAACTTAAAATTGACCCAAAACAGTGGTAGGTTTAAGACAAGGAAAAAGATCAGGCCAAGGTGAAATTGAGCTTCACGCGGAATCCTCGACCACAGAGGAACTGGCTATCTTACCTCCAACTGCCGTAATAACAATGCTTAACATTGTTGTTATGGCGAATTGGCGACAGACTTGAATAATTTGGCCGTCTCTACAAGTTGATCTCACCAAAACGCTACTCGTATAAAAAGTAGGTATTAAACACATACCACCAACGTTGGGACTAAGTACCTATTTTTAGATCCACATGATGGACGAGTGGCACTGGAAATTGGCACCAATATTGGAGCCAACGTGTAAAACAAACTTAGCCTTAATGTCCAAAGACCGATCTCTACACCGGCGTTGACAGTTCAACTTTCCCCCGGTACAAACTTGACCTTCACTTGTTGGGTTATTGGCGGTCAAGCTGTAGATCCTGGCTACACAGGAGTTGCAGCGGTGGCAACGAGAGAAATAGTCCCGTACACCAGTGTATTACTTGGAGCCATGATTAAAGTAGATTTTTCTATTCAGGCGGAAGACTCGAGGATGTCCACAACTCACACGTCGGACTCAGATTCGGATCCCAGTGATAGCGACATCGACATTGTAGGGGAGCCCAGCTACACAAGATACCCTGGGGACACGTAGATAAGGATACATCAAGGATACCACTACTGTATAATCATCATCATTTACTCTCCACTGCAGAAGTACGACCCACGTCTGCGGGTCCACGGGTCTGCGGGTGTCTATGGGCGACGGTAATCACTTACCATCAGGTGATCCGTCTACTCGTTTGCCTCCTATCACATAAAAAAAAACCCTATCATTTACTAGGAAATTCAGCATTTGACTTACACTTGGATTGAGCCTGATGTTCGCATACCCTGGAGACATATAGATTTGGACATCATCATTTCAGCCTCAGGATGTCTACTGCTGAACATAGGCCTCCCCCAAAAATTTCCAGATTGGCCGGTTGCTAGCGCCTTCCTGCTACCTTTATGAGGTCGTCAGTTCATGGGTACGATACCACTATCACCATTAGGTCATTTGGCCTCCACTGCAGGAACACGACCTATAATTGGACACTTGACTGCACAGTCAACACTTTCTATGAGCTGTCAAAACGCACCAAATGTTGTGACGTCACATTTATGCGAACTCAATTGAAAAACTATTTGAATTTATTTCAAGATGTACCTCATTTTCAGAACTAAGTATGTAGATTGAAGTGTATTTTTAAAGAATTTGTGTCGTGGAATTACTTGTGTCAACTATCCAATTTACCAGAGGCAAATGGAGGATTTGGCCCACTCCCCACGCTGGCCAGACGGGTTGGGGAGGCCTGATGTTCGCATATTTGTCCCTAAGTCGCCTACAACATCCACGGAAAGAGTATATTATTATGTCTCCAATTTGTTTGTGAAATCCTGGCTGTACTATCGGCAACAGTGTTAACTGCCCATTGCCGGTCATGTCGTCTCGTTCTATCGCAAAGAATCACCATTTGATGAGAGCGAGAGCAAAAACGGAAATGGATAGTTAACAGTGTGGCCGTGTGTACCTACTTACAGGATTCATCAACTGATCATACATAATAGTTAATTATTGTAGATAATTGAGTTAATACAATAGGCATACGGCAGCCGGCGATCATATTAACTGGACATTAACCAAATAGTTAACCTCGTTAATCGTTAATTAATAAAGTTAACGTTTACCGTTAATTTTGCACTTTGATGTCGTTGCGTTAGTGATTGATTTATGGGATGGAAGTTTAAATAAATTAATAGTGATTTTATAAAATGATGGGGTTTTTTGTTTAAAACTTTATTGCACAACATTTAGGTAGATCTATTAAAAGATGAACTTAATTCCATTATGGTACTCTGTTAAATCTGTAGAAAGTACTCTACCTATTGTATTTATTTGTTACCTATTAGAATGTATTTTATATTATTATTTTGACGGACAAAAGTATTTTTATGTAAGAATCCAAGTTTAATGTATCGGCCAACATTTTTATAGTACCTACTTAGATAACTTTCTCAATCTTCAATCCGTTTCTTGAAATCTAAATATATAAAAGGAGAAACTGACTGACTGACTGACAGATCAACGTACAGCCTAAACGGCTAAACGTAGGCACTTGAAATTTGGAAGGGACGTAGCTTAGGTACCGTAGAGGTGCACTAAGAAAGGAATTCCCGCAATTCCCACGGGAACGGGAATTAGCGGGAAAAACGGGATTCACGCGTACGAAGTCGCGGGCGGCCGCTATGTTATAATATAATAATAACCGCCTGCTATTTTTTCAGTCCGAGACTATGAACCAGGCAGGTGACCCGTAGTCTCCATCCATAGCCCAGTAACCAGTCCATCCATCCTTCATCCATAACCCTAGTCCATTCTCCAATAACTGCAATAGCTCCTGTGCACAGGCTGGGGATGGTCTCTGGCTACATCCCATGATATAGTCACAGACTAGATCCAGCATGTGCACCACTTTCACTTTTGTCGATTATTTTGCGCTTAAAACGGCCTCTACGTGTTGGATCTGTATCCCCACGCAAGCCTTATGAAGGACCGGGCCACTTTTGACCCGTGAGCTCCAAAGCGTACAAATAAAAATAATAATAATTTAACTTTGTTAATTAACGATTTTAAAATGGCTCCTGCAGTATAGTTCTAGCGTTTAACTCAGTCAGAACCTGGTATGGGACTCTGACTGAATTTGGTTTCTAAATTAAATAAAACACCCTTTCCTCAATCATAAAATTGTCTCAAATACATCTACTAGCTGCCAAAGAATTTATTTAATGTCACTCAAAAATAGTATAATAGTAATTAGCAAAAGTTTCAGCTACACATGCCTGTTCTTTAAAACCTTTACCTATATAAAACTGTTTACAAAATAGAGAATATAATTGAATTAATAATTTAAAATATAATTTTACATAGTTGTGTAGAGTCAATAATTATGATAATAAATAAGTTATTGTTAAATTATTTATAAAGGTTTCGTGGTAGGACTTTTAAAATAAAATTAGTCAAATAAGTGCAATAATAGCATATTTTGTACAAATAACAATAAAAGTGAGTGTTTCTAGTCGTTTTAAATAATCTAGACATTTGGAAGAATGTAAATTGTAAATCCAAGTGAAAAAATTTGATAATAAATGGGTATTTGAATTTTAGTGATAAGGCCCCCAAATATTGATTTCAAAATAAGTAACATAAACTGTTATTTTATGTCAATAAAACCATTCGATATTATGTAATCTTTTCTTTCACTTTATTATTAAAATAGCGTTATTTCTGTAACTCACAGTACCTACAAACCAACATTGATTTAAATCGTTCAACACAAAGATTTAATTATTAGAATAAATATTATTAATAGTACAAGTTTTACAAAACAATAAAACTTGTATTATTGAGCAGAGACGATGCACAGCATCTGGTGAGAGATGCGTCTACTTCCGATGTAGTTTTGTACCATTTTATACCTTAAATGACGCCATTTCCGCAATTATTTAATAGGAATTGATTTGACTTACTTCCGTTTGCCGCCATTTTAGTCACCTGGGGGCGAGCTTGCTCGGAGTTCTTCATAGAGAGCTCACCAGGAGGCCTTCTTGGGATGCTGTGCATCGTCTCTGCTCAATAATACAAGTTTTATTGTTTTGTAAAACTTGTACTATTATTCGGCATGTGACGATGCACAGCATCTGGTGAGAGACTTGTTTATTAGCTCCTGGTGACTACTTACCAATGGCGCTATGTGATGAAAGTTTTCGAGTTTCTGTAACAGAACTAGATTAGAACATGATTAATTTCAGGGTATTCATTTGATCGAAAAGAGTGTTAAAACTATCAGAATCCCACGTACCTCGTTTCATCCGTTTTGAATCTCGCCGGGGTCCGAGTTTCTCCGGTATCCGACGCTCTGGGTCCACCTGCTCGTCGTCCGGAAGACACTCGTCCCCTTTGGCGCCAACCACCATCACGTACATGTCGTTCGCGGTCACACACGCGCGGTCAATTGCACTTTTTAATTTTAAACTTAGTATAAGAACGTTGAGAAATAAATTATTTCAGTAAAAATCTGAGCAGAGTTTCTGCTTACGATGTTGCTAGTTTGGAAGTTAAAGACGCTATGAAGAACTCCGAGCAAGCTCGCCACCAGGTGACTAAAATGGCGGCAAACGGAAGTAAGTCAAATCAATTCCTATTAAATAATTGCGGAAATGGCGTCATTTAAGGTATAAAATGGTACAAAACTAATTCGGAAGTAGACGCATCTCTCACCAGATGCTGTGCATCGTCACATGCCGAATAATATACCATGTTTGTTTCATTCAATAGCAATAAACCAAAAATGCTAATGTAAAAATGAATTATTGTAAAATAGATTAAGTTTTATGAAATAAATGTAAATTATTTGAAGTTTGTTTATTTTATTTCAATAATACAATAGGCTAGTTTCCTAAAAAATATTTTTTAGTCCGTCATGTTTAATATCACAAAATATTGGACACATATATTTTTATTTGTCAATCTAATAAATAATTACATACTTATGGTGCGTTGACGTCACAAAGTGCGGCACTTTTATGCATTCATTGACGTCACGGGCCTCTTCTTATGAACTTTGGCGCGCTTTATCTCGTTAAATTTTCATTAGTTTGAAAAAGCGAAAAATACTAGTAGAGTATTTTTTGATAAGCTAACTGACGGACTAATTAAAACTTTTTTCTTTTTGACCCAGGAAACATCCCTATTGTAGACTCAATTTTATTGACCAATGTTGACAAAATATCAAGACAGGCACAGTGGCATACTTACAAGGAAAAAAAAACAAACGAATTCGAGAACCTATTCCTTTTGTTGAAGTCGGTTAATGATAACTGTCAAATGTTAGTTATTTTTAGTTTTCTTAAACCTCCCCCTCTATACTCGTATTACAATGGCTATAGAGAGAGATTTCATTAAATCCTTTTAGTTAATGTTAGGTTCTGGGTTTGATTCGTAGGTGGAACATACTTTTTGTATTAAAAATTGCACGATTCGATCAATCTTATGCGAAAAATACGTGTAAAGTGAAACCTTTGTAGAATAAAAGTTAATAATATCTGTGGTAGAAAAACATAACTTTTTAACTTATCGGACGGATTTAAAGTCCGATTGAACCATGTTCAACGATTAATTTAGGTAAGTAAAAGTAGCCATAACATAAGGCTTTTCAATAAATTAAAAAATATTACTCGAGTCAAGATTTAAAAAGCATTGTTTTAAATTGCATTTTTCCTACTAGATTTCTTAATCGTTGTTAGAGTCTTCAAATACGGTATTTTTAATCTTTTTTGAAATTAATTCCAAAGTTGCTGCGAAGGTGACAAGGATCTAATTGAAGTGAGTATTAAAATCCTAAATATTCCCAATGTTATTTTCGTTTTAAAAATTATAGGCGCTCACATTAAGAACTTTTACAAGTAGGTATTATTCATATCATAAGTTACCTAGGTACAGTTAGGGTTGCCAACAGTATTATACTGTTTTTCACTAAATTATACTTTTTACTGTTGAACAAAAATAAAGTATACAAAATACTGTTTTCAGCTAGCATCACTAGTATCCATAGATATTTTTAAAAGTAAATGCCCAACACCACATTTAAGTACGCGTTGTAGAGCTATACTGTTTGTTTTTTTTAATACTGTCTGTTTTCCTTCTCCGACCTCTGATATACTTTATATTTTGAAAGAAAAGTTGGCAACCCTAGGTACAGTTCAGTAGGTACGGCTAACACGAAAAACTTTCGAGTTCGAATCATTTGCGTATTCGAATCGCCATTTAGTACGAAAACTACTTACAACAACGAACGTGATCGTGTATCTAAGTGTAGTACGTGTACCCTTGTGAACGTGTCGTAAAGTGAACTTAGTATGGGAAATGGTTGCACGAAACTTATTTTGAGAGTCAAAATGTCACGTAATCGTTGAATTCGAAGGTTGAGTATCGAATTTACGCAAACGATTCGAAGACGAAAGTTGGTCATGCTAGAGGTAAGTACAGATTATACAGGGTGTCTCAATGAGTAGTGTCAAGCCGAAGCACAGAGGTAGAGCATCACTAGGGCTACCCGAATCACCGCGACTTTTGATAACTGGTTTTCGAGTTATGATATTTTTTACAACATACAGGATTTTTAACGTTTTTAGTTTACATTAGTGTCATGGATGTAAGTAAACTGAATCAGCTAGGCCTAGTATTCATCTAACAATAATAAAAAAATCAGGCATGTAACTTGACCATTCGCGCCACAGTGACCAAAAAAGTGCCTAAGAAATTAAACAATCATAACTCGAAAACTATCAACAATCGCGGAACATACATGGGGGTGATTCGGATAGCCCTAGATTCTACCTTTGGGTTTTGGCTTGACACCCTGTGTATGAGAAAAAAAATAATTAAAGCGTTACATCCGTGTAACCTAAAACGTAATGCTCAAAATTTAACCTATTGTGTTAAGTTACAGTACAGTCAAATATTCCTGGAGAAGGAGGAATAAATCTCCGAGTGTAACAAGCCGTAATTCGAAGCATCCACACAAAATAGCCCCAGTTAGAGCAATTTCCCGCGTTTTGTCATCAGGCAAGCTATACGTCAATTACCAAGTGATTATCCTACTCACCGCTAGATGGCGCGCACCGGCTTACCGTCCTCTGGGACGGGTCTTAACAGGCACCAGACTAAATTGACCCCTCTTTAGCCAATTTAACGAGATACTTGTAGCAGAATGTAATGATTTCACAGGTCTGCATTAAATTGGCATATTAGTTGTTTGTTCTAAGAGATATTGAGTCGTAGGACGTTGAAATAAAACGCAAAATAGCAAATGATGGCGTAAAAAGATTAATTGTAATTGTTGTTGTGTACGTAGTATTAATGAGTCATGTGATTTGCCAATAAAATTGATTCCATCCATGTCTCACAAATAATTAGGTACCTACTTATTAGGTAATGCTGTCAGTTGTATAGTGACGTTACTATAATTTTGTTTTCTTTTTCTAGGTTTTACTATGTTTTATGCTACTTATTTGGTGACTAGCCTGCAGAATCGCTAAAATCAAGTGGCAGTGGGCGGGGCACATAGCTCGCAGAGCTAATGGCCGCTGGGACAGAAAAGTTCTCGAGTGGCGACCACGAGCTGGAAGACGTAGTGTGGGCAGGCCTCCCACTAGGTGGACCGACGATCTGGTGAAGGTCGCGGGAGGTGCCTGTCTTTGTGAAAATCCTTGGGGGAGGCCTTTGTCCAGCAGTGGACGTCATTTGGCTGAAACGACGTTGCTACTTATTTTAGCCAATTTTAAAACACACTGAGCCTTTCTCGGCCGTTTGGTGTAGTGGTTCGAAACGGACTACTACTCCGGAGGTTGCCGGTTCGATTCCCGCACAGTACAAACATTTGTGTGCATGAACATATTTATTTGTATTGGACTGGGTGTTTTTCTATGTATAATAATTAGGTATGTATGTATTTCCAAAAAAAGTATTTAAGTATGTTTATATATCCGTTGTCTAGTACCCATAGTACAAGCTTTGCTTAGTTTGGGACTAGAAGCGCAGTGTAAAATGTCCAAGGGTATTTATGCTATCGTTTTTTCATAGAAATATTACATCGAAAGTGAAAATATAGATGATGACGAATACCTATCATTATATTTATTCTGAAGTGATTGCAAACAGTGCTTTATTGATCAGACGTAAAATGATGTCACTGACATTAAGATTTTTTACCCGACTGCAAATAAGTTGGTGTTGTTTTCAGAGACCATCTGGTAATTATTGAGGGAGGCAATTATCATTACCACAAGCTACTGGACGTCCACTGCTGGACATAGGCCTCCCCCAATGATATCCACATCACCCGGTTGGCAGCAGCCTCAACCAGCGCCTTCCTGCTACCTTATGAGGTCGTCGGTCCACCTTGTGGGTGGATGTCCCATACCGGTTTTCCGGACCTTGCTGCCCCATCGATGTCAGTTCTGCGTATTATGTGCCCTGCCCATTGCCACTTCAGCTTGCTAATCCACCGGGCTATGTCAGCGACTTCGTTTATGATATTTTGTCTCTATATGTTTATGATATTGTCATTTACAGCGTTATGTTTTTGCCCACTGATAAGAGATAACCCCAGCCCACTGATAACAATATAGTCCAGATAAGATAGTAAGCAGACACCGCCATTTTGTGTACTTTTACCTGAACAAGTAAACTTGCTAGTTGCATTCGATGTGATTGTGTTTTTTTTTTGTGGATAATTGTGTTTTTTAAGGTGACTATCACTTTCATTTCCTACATTAATCATCAAGTAAAAATTATTGCCTTATCTCGTCTCAAAATATTATGTAGGTAACATAAGCTCAGAATTAGATACTTAGCTGACCCAATTATGGCACAATTTGTTTTAAAAAAATGCTCTTAGTAGGTAGGTACTTGAAAATTGTTTGTGTTGATCAAACATCAATGCCGTCTTTGTGTACAGAAGACGGCATTTATAAAGTGAACACTGTGGGATCTTATTATGTACCTATTTTGTACTACTTACTTATGTACCTTTTTGTACTACTTATGTACCTTTTTGCAAGGAAAGGGTAGTCTGATATAATGTCAACTGTATACTGCACAGTCATATACATATAATGAGAACACCCATAGCAAGTATCTACTACAAGACTACAACCTACAAACAGCAAAAGTATCACTACATGTATAAAACAAAGTCGCTTACCGCTGTTTGTCCCTATGTATGCTTAGATCTTTAAAACTACGCAACGGATTTTGATGCTGTTTTTTTAAATAGATATAGTGACTCAAGAGGAAGGCTTATAGGTATAAAACATGCATATTATAGAATAAATAAGCCGGAAAATTCCATTGCAACCGTGCGAAGCCGGGGCGGGCCGCTAGCCTTTAAGTAAATATTTTTTTGTTATAAAACCGTACGTACAAGTACTTCGAACTTTTTTTTAGTTTGTCATTCGTATCTAGGACTAGCGTCCGCCCGCGACTTCGTTCGCGTAGACCTCGTTTTACCGCCTTAGGGGTGGATTTTCGTAAAATCCGTTTTTAGCGGATGTCTACACCCTATTCTAAGAATCTACATGCCAGATTTCAAGTATGTAGGTGTTATAGTTTCTAAAATTTCGTATACATCGCTATAGGATTAATAAATTGTAATGGATCGCTGTCTAAACAACGCGATATAGTGTTAGGCTGCATTTCTGAACTAGGTATAAACTGCATGGCCAAAGTGATTTCTAAATGTTGACTTTAAATTAAAGTATTGCTTTATGAACTAATATAAATTAACGTCAGTTTAGTAATTTCAAATTCAAGCAAGTATCTACCTACCTGATAAGAACTAGGTATCTTTGAAAGATAATAATCGATGACCCAACATACAATGTTCTTTGAAAACAATGAATTATATTATTGACTTATCTTTGTTTTTCCAGGATGGCCGGGCGAGTCACATCCTGTGTTCTCATTTTTATTTTAGGTCTAAGTGGAGTTTACTCCGAAAATGGTAAGTTTAAGAGGTTTAAATGGATGGATATTTTTATTTACTTATGTAATTATTATTATAGTATTAGTAATGTCACTTTTACGCCTGTATTTTGACAAATAAAAAAGAAATAACATTAATGCAAGAATACATTTATTTTCTATCATACTCTTGGTCTGGGAGTTTAATAATTTAAAAAAATAAAAATTCATAGATTTTAGCATTTTATATATTTTTTTATATGTATATTATATGATTAGTTCGAACTAGTTACTAACGCCATCTGTTACTGAGTAGCGTAACTAAATATTTCATTTCTCTTATTTTAGAAACTGCACCAGCGGCAAGCGACTCAAGCATAGTCATGCAAACTGGCATATGCAGGAGATGTATATGCAAAGACAACAAGGTGGACTGCAGTGAGCAAGGTCTAACGAAGTTTTTCCATAAGAACGAGTGGGAAGGTTGGTTATGTTATATTCCTTGAAAAATATAAGATAAAACATGATTTATCTCAAAATGGAACTTGCATCAATCATTTTCAATCGAAACAAATGTTTTATAATAGCATTAAAATGGAATATCTTATCAAAATTAAATTTTTTCAAGCTATGAGCTTCTCCGTTGTACCTAAATAACGCCATCTACCGAGGAGTAGACGTACTAACACGTAAATTTTACTGCTTTGTTTAGCTCTTCAAGAATTCGCGCCAACAACCGTGGATATGAGCGACAATTCCTTCGAGAACATCACCGAGATTGGCAATTTGACTTCCATCGAAGTTCTGAACCTGACCCGCTGTGGAATCGAGTTTCTAGATAATGCCAGCTTCAGAGACCTGCAAAGGATGAGAGTACTGGATCTGAGTCATAACAAGCTGACTTCAAGGCTAAGCCCGCATGTTTTTGAGGTACAGACTTTGTTAATATTATGTTTATTTAGTTGGACCGACGATCTGGTGAAGGTCACAGGAGGTACCTGGATGCAAGCGGCGCAGGACCGGTCTTTGTGGAAATCCTTGGGGGAGGCCTTTGTCCAGCAGTGGACGTCTTTCGGCTGAAACGAACGAACGAACGAACGATGTTTATTTATGTATACTACCGGGATATAATTGTTTTTCATTGTCACTGTAAAATGATTGTTACCTATACAAGCGTATCATACATCTGTCAATCTCTGATAGTAGGCACAGTATTCAATGAATTTGTCATTTAACTAAATGACCAAGAGATGGCGTTACCAGCTAACTAGTTCGTAACGCCATCTGTTGGTGAGTTGAACTAAAAATACGCAAAACAATAAAATAAGTTGTGATGTTCTATTGGTTGAAACAGATCCTAATCACTTTTTTCAGGGTCGCTACTCACCTGAAAAGTACGAGCCTCTGGAATCCATGCGTGTGCTCAGTCTAGCATACAACGACATCCATTCGCTCCACCAGGATCTCTTCGAGCATTTACCAGAACTGACCGAGTTGGATCTCAGTGGGAACCCGCTGCTAACTATCGACTACCCGACCCTGGTGGCTATATCTAGCTTGCCTATGCTCAAGGTAAAGACTCATCATCATCAGGTCATATTATTATAAGCTCATGGCAGATTTATCAACTCAGAAAGGGATCAACACCGTATCGCCTTTTGCGAGGCGTTTACGTTACGGTGTGGTTGTGCGTTGCAGTATGGAGTTTCATACAAAGAAAACTGACCACCTCGAGTTGATACGGTTACGATCCCTTTCCGGGTTGATAAATGTTCGACGTCCGCAATTTCATAAGTTAGGTATGTGTAGTTGCAATTTTTTTTCTTCTGTTTAAAAGCACCTTTACAGCAGCACAGCAGATTCGTTTAGATTCTGTTTTTTAAAGCACCGCCGACCGAAACTTTCCTGTTTAGCCCGAAGATCAACTGGCAATCCAAACCTTATGTCATAAGGCATAACTTAATACCTGCCTACCTTAATACCTAAGGTATTAAGTTTGCCATGAACATGGGCGTACGTACCCAGCTTCTGGCCTAGGGGGGAAAGTCAGAATTTTCAGGTCAGATAGTTTGTCTTAGCTCCTGCAAAGCAACTTCCAAGGGGGCCGCTGCTCCCCCTGCCCCCTCCCCCTGGGTACACCCATGCTTATGAACCAATTTGTATGGCATAAATTTTAAATTAATACTAGCTGACCCGGCGAACTTTGTTCCGCCTTAATGGCAATAAATAAGCAGACTTTTTTTTTAATTTCGAACGGGATAAAAAGTATCCTATGTCCTTCTCCTGGCTCTAGACTACCTCCCTGACAATTTTCAGCTACATCGGTTCAGCCGTTCTTGAGTTATAAGTGGAGTAACTAACACGACTTTCTTTTATATATATATAAGATTACATATTCCCGACGCAGGTATTCCGCATGCGTTCCTGTCAGCTCACAGAGATCCCAGACAAATTTCTCCACACCCCCCGCTACCTCGAGCGTTTGGATCTCAGCGACAACCTCCTAAAAGCAGTCCCTCAAGAACTGGAGGAGACCAAGAACTTGCTGTACCTGAACCTCAACCAGAACCCCATTCAGGAACTGGACATGGACTCTGAGGAGTTTCCGTAAGTTTAATGATTGCTATAATTCAGATTGATGAGGAGATCCGCAGGAGAACCAAAGTAACCGACATAGCTCGCAGAATTGCTAAAATCAAGTGGCAGTGGGCGGGGCACATAGCTCGTAGAGACGATGGCCGTTGGGGCAGGAAAGTTCTCGAGTGGCGACCACGGGCTGGAAGACGTAGCGTGGGCAGGCCTCCTACTAGGTGGACCGACGATCTGGTAAAGGTCGCGGGAAGAGCCTGGATGCGGGCAGCGCAGGACCGTTCATTGTGGAAAACCTTGGGGGAGGCCTTTGTCCAGCAGTGGACGTCATTTGGTTGAAAAGAAAGAAAGAAAGAAGAAAGATAATTCAGATACACGCCCGTATTTACAAACATTACTATGAGATCTCACAGTGCGCGTGGACGCACAGGGTGACACACGAACCAATCACAGAGCTCTATTTAAAGCTCTGTGTTCGATTTGCTGCTTCACTTAAGCAAGTATCATTTGTGAATACGGGTGTTAGCATATTTCATCAAAGAATTAAGATTAATACCTAAGTTTTTTTACTCAACGAGGAAGCTAAGTGTTATGATCGTGACGTTACTATGATTGAGCTAGTGTACCTTCTTCGTCAAAGAAAGGTTAATACCAAATTTAAGTAGATTTTTTCAACCGAGGCTTCGCCGCAAATGCAGTCCAAGAGCTTTCTTGAACTGCGTCTCCTCAACTGATGAAAAATAATGATCAAGCTGAAGCGTAGGTGGAAGCGAGTTTCACCAGGAATCCTTAAGGATTGAGGTGAACCTCAGAAGATAACAGAGAGAGAATCATAAACACAGAATCTTACAGCCCACTCGTAACATCAGCATATTATTTAGCTTATCACGAGGTGTTAACAAGACTTTAATTTAGAATAATATTTAAAAAAAACACTCGTCTATTCCAGTGGCTTTCCCCGCCTGCGTAAGCTGAAGGAACTTCACATGTGTAACATGCACTCTCTAAAACGCATCGGTCCTGAAGCGTTGTCAGGGCTGGAGAACTTGGAGAAACTGCACTTGAGTTTCAACCCTCAGCTGTCTGAGTTGAGTCCCAGGGCTTTGGCCAGGCCTGATGATATCGGCGAGACGTATGATTGGCCGTTGATTTCTGAGGTACGTAGATCGAGTCTGAGGTAGGGGAGGAGTTTTGGGGATGGCCTATGTTCAGCAGTGGACGTCTTTCAGTAAATTTTACTACCTAGTAAGAGTGTTAATAAATAAAGGCTAAAGTAAAGCAATATTCCACCAGTGGGCTGAGTGTGAATTTTAGTTTTTGAACGTTTTCCGCTAGGGGCGCTGTACAATCCGTCATACATTTATTGTCATTTTTTGACGCGCTCACTAGTGAGCGCGTTTGATGAAAACAGTCACACTAGGCCCTCAGCTCGCACTAAGCGTTTCAATGACTCTTTCATAATGCAAACAGCTAAGAACTGGAATTCGCTGCCTGCTGCTGTCTTTTTCGAAGACTATAATCCGGGCCTTTTCAAGGCGAGAGTGAATAGGTACTTTCAGGGCTGATATGTACCATCCTACATTGCATCCCACTTAACACCAGGTGCGATTGTGGTCAAATACCTGCCTTGTTAAGCATAAATAAAAGTTTATATTTTCATCCACAGCTGTACCTCCAATCCAACAACCTCCCTGAGATCGACCGCCTGCTCATCTCTCGCTGGGACCTGGTCAAGGTGGTGGACGTATCAGACAACCCGTTCATGTGCGACTGCTCGACCCAGTGGATGGTGGACATGCTGGTGCCTGTGGTTGACAAGATCAGTCCCAACACTTCTAGCAGGATGGTGTAAGTTTACTTTAGACTTTTTTTTGACGCGTAGTATTTACTCCATTAAAGCATTTGCTTTTGCGTTACCACTGCCGAGGGACAGGGTGGTGTGTGGGACTACTGGAGCCCTGAAAAGGGTGCTGCTCCGTCCTGAAAAGGGATGGGGTGTACCTACTAAAACCTCGAGTCATCGCATCGTCGCGAGTATCCGACCGTAGCCTTAGACTTCGGCGAAGTTTACCTTAGATAGGTACTTTAACTTTAACTCAGCTAACTTTCTAGCATCAACACGTACTAAATGTGAAATACTGCAGAATGACTCACCAATGGCATGAACATTAACTATTATAAATTGTATCGGTCCGGATGTTTTCGTTGTCTAATACCAGAGTAAATACAAATGAGTAGGTTATCTTCATAGAAACGCACGGGCGCGGTTTGTATGTGAGCGCGCCAACACGTATGCGGCGCGCACGCACACACTGAAAAAATTTAGCGGGGATTAGCGGGGAGCCAGTCGTGGTTGCGCCGAATTTTGTCAGTGTGTGCGTGCGCACACACTGACAAAATTCGGATACATATTGGCGCGCTCACATACAAACTGCGCTCGGTGCGTTTCTATGAAGATGACCTACTCATTTGTATTTTACTCTGCTAACACAGAACATGCTTTGCTCAGTTTAGAACTATATAGATGGCGCAGTGTAAAAGTTATAATTATTTTATTATTTCCAGTTGTAACGAGCCGATCGAGATGCGAGGCCTCACGATGCAGCATCTGAACAGCATCCACCGTCACATGCGCTGCGTCGACAAATATGGACACAGACCCGAGAAGGACGGCGCCATTCTGCTGGGAACTCTCATCGGTTACACTTATTTTATTTTATTCTCGTTGTGTTGTTGTTTATGTATATTGTCGGCCGTTTGGTGAAGTGGTTCGAAACGGACTACTATTCCGGAGGTAGCGGGTTCGATTCCCGCACAGTACAAACATTTGTGTGCATGAACATATTTGTTTGTATTGCACTGGGTGTTTTCTATGTAATGTATTTACAAAAAAAAGTATTTAAGTATGTTTATATCCGTTGACTAGTACCCATAGTACAAGCTTTGCTTAGTTTGGGACTAGAAGCGCAGTGTAAAATTTATTTATTTATTTATTGTTATGTACCTACTGTGTCAATAAATTATAAATAAACTACTTGAAAAAATCGCACTGCCTAAGGCGGGATTCGAACTCACGATCTTTCGCTTGCCGGGCAACTGCTCTTCTCTGTGGTACTTCAATCAACCAAGCATCGTTTATGAATTAGGGCTTTATTATTATACTAGCTTTCCGCCCGCGGCTTCGCCCGCGTGGAATTTTGTCTGTCACAGAAAAACTTTATCGCGCGCGTCCCTGTTTCAAAAACCGGGATAAAAACTATCCTATGTTCTTTCTCGGGACTCAAACTATCTCTATGCCAAATTTCATCAAAATCGGTTGCGAGGTTTAAGCGGGAAAGCGTAACAGACAGACAGACAGACAGACAGACAGACAGACAGAGTTACTTTCGCATTTATAATATTAGTTGGGATTAGTTGGGATGTGTGGCTTTTTATTATTATTTGTGTGGCTTTACTAAATGTATGGAAGCTGGAAACATTGAATATTCGATGTTTTAGTTTTACATCGCTGCACGGACCTAGTGCCGTACAGCTTACGCTGAACTGGATGCCCTTGTCATCTTGTTTTTTTAATATTTAAGCTGTGTTTGTGTCTGTGTTGCTGACAATAAATGTTTAATTGTTGTTTTTATTTTTATTAATTTTCCTGTATCTCACCTGATTACCATCGAGGCCGAAGGTGGAAGCGAATTTATTCTGTAACCTATTATTGATACGATAGAGCTCGTGAAGCCTTTCAGGATCAGTAACCAGTTTTTCGATAACTTAATTTGGAAAATAATCGAATGGGAGATCACTTATCGTTCCCACCCTGTATAAGAAAACTTTATGCCATCGTGTATAAAGTCCGGTCGCCGAGCAGATAGAATTTCGTACAATGACCCCTAGCTACCCATCCTTATCGCTCGCGCGTAATTATATTGCTGTCGCGACTGTGCGACGGGCGACCACAGTGAGTGTGCGAACGCGCCAGCAATATAATCTTGCGCGAGCGATAAGGATAGGTAGCTTGGGTTCATTGTACGAAATTCTACAATGCTCGGGGACCGGACTTTAGCTTGATAATAATATACTAACCAAGGTATTCTTCATCCAGGTGTCCTTCTAGCAGTACCAGTAATGCTATCCCTCATGCTGCTATGGAACCGCGGTTACTTCGCCTGCATCGGTCTGAGGGGTCCTACCAGTGATTCCCGTGCGTTCTACAAGAGGGCGCCACATGACGACAACTTCATGTAGATGTCGCTTCACGCATTTTTTATAATATAGAATTAAAAATTAAGAGAAATGTAAAAAAAAGAAAGAGTGATGACAACTTCAGGTAGATACTTCAAGCGTTTTTAAAAATAGAGACAAAATTAAGGAAGTGTTTAATTAAGAGAAAAAAAATAAGTAAAACGAGAAATAAAATAAAGATGTGATTGCAAAAACTTCCAAAATATCTAGATGCTGCTTTTTATTGGTAAAGATAAAGAACATAAGTATTTAACTGATTTTTAAGGCATTTTAATGTGTGACAAAAAAGTATGATTATTTTTATTAGCCTACAGTATTTATTAATTTTCAGGGTTGTGTTAGTCCCACCTAGTTTATGTTTTGTATTCCTAGTTGTAAAGAAAATTTTATGAAATAAATATCTTCCAAAGTTATTTACAAATATGTTGACTTATTTACGTTTAGAGTAAACCACATTATACGTGAATGAAGACCCCATAATTTATGAACAATAAAATTAATCTATAGTAATTATAGTGCAACCTTTTTACACTACTTTAGTGATGGTTAATGAAAAAAAAAAACACTTTTTATTTATTACTAGCTGACCCGGCGAACTTTGTTCCGCCTTAATGGCAATAAATAAGCAGACTTTTTTTATTTCGAACGGGATAAAAAGTATCCTATGTCCTTCTCCTGGCTCTAAACTACCTCCCTGACAATTTTCAGCTAAATCGGTTCAGCCGTTCTTGAGTTATAAGTGGAGTAACTAACACGACTTTCTTTTATATATGTTATAGTCAAACCTCGAAGTTCCGGCACACCTAGGTTTGACTAGTCAATCCTCAGGTCTGACTAGAAGTCTTAGTCAAAGCCCAAACATTTCGGCCTTTGACTAAAGAATGTCAGTCAAACCTAGGAGTAACTAATTTGGTTAGGCAAACGTCGAAACTCAATTTAATGAAATCGGGGTTTGACTAGTCAAACCTCAATTAAGACTTTAAACTAAACTATACTTTATTCTGATCTCGAATTTATTGCAAAGGCGTTACGGTCGGTTCTTTAGGTGAAGGTACGAAAAACTAAAACTATTTACTGAGGTTGTTTGTCAGTGTTTCTAGACCGATCTTGAAATTACTAATTTTTAGGGTTCTGTTACCTTAAATTTGAAGGTAACAGAAGGTCCTTTATTAAGGCTTAAAGGATAAAGAGTTAAAACGGGACCCTATTACTATGACTTCGCTAAATTTTGTCTGTCACCAGGCTCGTATCTCATGAATCATTTTCAAAAGATTTAGTTTTTTATTCACTTTAAAAATAAATAAATCAATAAAATACATAAATATTTAAGGGAGGCTCCTATACAGCAAACTTTTTGCAGTTTTTTGCTCGAATTTAAATTAAAACGTAAACAGGTGAACCCTTGAAATATTCACATATTATCTACTTTAAAAATAAATCATAAAATTAAAATAAAAGAAATATTAAAAGGGGGGCTCCCATACAAGAACAGAGTCGCACGGAACCCTTCGTAAGCGAATCCGACTCGCACTTGGCCGGTTTTCTATTTGCTGTTTACTTCTGACCGAGTCTGCCAGTCGTTTCTAGGATTGACTAGGCAAAGCCCGAAGCAGATTATTTTAGTTTCGACGTTTGACTGAACAGTTTAGGCACTTCTAGGTTTGACTTAGTCAAAGGCCGAAATCAGAAATCACTTCGGGGTTTGCCTGAAGGCCTTGGTCAAACCTAGGATAAACCAGTCATTCCGCGAAGAGACTGCATATCGACCTTTGACTATGACATATATATAGATTACTAATCTTGTCTGCATTAGGTACATTGTGCTAGACAAATCCTACTAATATTTTAAATGCGAAAGTTTGTATGGATGTTTATTACTCTTTCGCGCAAAAAACTACTAAACGGATTTTGATGAAACTATACAGTGTTATTATTTATAACCCAGATTAACATATAGGCTTTAACTTATGCCGATTTTTAACACTAAATTTCACGCAGGTGAAGCCGTGGGCAAAAGCTAGTTATCTAATATTCCGTTGTGTATAATATTTTTACATAATATTTAATAAAAATTCCAAAAAAATATATAAATCTGCCAGTGTATAGTTCTGCTACTCACCCATAGATGGCGTTAACTGCGAATATTTTAGTTGATCGCGCTCATGAATATTTCGTAAACTACCAACTTTAACATCATAATTACCCGACTTCGCCAGAAGAAAGGTTATGTTTTTTGGAAAACCAGTAGGGAAACGGCCAGACCAGAGTTCCTGCCGCCAACCTAGGGCTGATTGTGCGTTGAAAGGTAGATGATTTTGTATTTTTTGTGCTTTGGCTACTTACTTAAGTATTGACTGATAACTTACATCCGTATTCACAAACTTTACTATGAGACACACACGAACCAATTACAGAGCTCTATTCAACGCTGTGCGTTCGATTTGCTGCTTCACATACTTAAGCAAGCATTGTTTGTGAATTACCTATAAAAGCATCGATCAAGTAGGTTTAACTGCACTTAAAGTAGGTTTTTCATATCTATGACCTCACTGGCAATCACAATACATGTAGGTAAGTACTTACATATTTTATACTCGTATAATATTATACATCAACAATCCCAATAATGATAGCTCGTAGGATAATGTACGATTTATCTAACTTAACTCGAAATATCAGCGAATAGGTATGCTTATCTCACCTTATCTTTGTACACACTACATTCAAGAAAATACGGATAAAAATATTCGATTTGGCAAACAATATAAACTGCAGAAGTGCCATTTCAAACGGAACATGATTTGTTTTGATTTAAGATTGTACCTACCTAAAATTTTTCTCGAACGCATACGTCACAACTTGGTTAGTGGTGGGGGTCAGACGGCGTCCGACCGTAGCACGGGAAGGTCGTGTTGGGTGCTTTGGCTAGCCAAATACTGTTGTGAAATACCGAGTAGTGTGTACAATACACTAACTGCTTTTATAATACATAGTTATTAAAATTTATTAGCGTTTAGAGTCGCTTCTCAAATTAAATTATAAATAACTTGAAAAAATCGAACTGCGGGTATAGCGAAAGGTCGTGGGTTTGGTTCGATCAATTCGATTTTTTCAAATTATTTATAATTTAAATACATAACATTTAATTAAAATACCTACTTGGATGACACAATAAAAAACTCGTGCCTACTTTATTGCATTAAAGATAGGTAAAATATATTACGATTCTTGTTGTGCATTCTTCTCGGGGCTTGGAATAAAACATGACCATATCCGAAAGTATTAGGCAAAAACTCTTCAACTAAAGTACGGACAGACATATCTGCGCAATTTTTACTCTATAGATCTTACCAAAATCGTCGTTGATAAACACTCGCTGAATTTTAAAGCATCGTGCAAAGAGGTGGGCAGTTGTGTTGTAAATTATAGTTTATTTTTATTAAAATGGATTACCGTGTGTGTGTTTTTGTGTTTATTGGATTGAGTGCGTCTTTGGGGCAAGAAGAAGAAGGTAAGTGTAATTATAGTTATCACTTATCTTAAACTAGCTGACCCGGCGAACTTTGTTCCGCCTTAATGGCAATAAATAACGGGATAAAAAGTATCCTATGTCCTTCTCCTGGCTCTAAACTACCTCCCTGACAATTTTCAGCTAAATCGGTTCTGCCGTTCTTGAGTTATAAGTGGAGTAACTAACACGACTTTCTTTTATATAATAGATTAGTCCTTGACTTATTATTAGTTATGAGGCGACCTCATAAATGTAGCAGGAAGGCGCTGCTGGATGCAGGCCACTAACAACCGGCCATTATGGAAATCATTGGTTGGGGGAAGCCTATGTTCAGAGTGGACGTCTTATGGCAATTATAAGCTGGACAGACGACCTCATAAAGGTAGCAGGAAGGCGCTGCTGGATGCAGGCCGCTACCAACCGGTCATTATAGAAATCATTGAAGCCTATGTTCAGCAGTGGACGTTAAAAGGCTGATATATTATTATGATGATGATGATAAGGAATTGAAGGTGAATGTAAAACATAATAATTAACCGCCTCTGTGGTCTAGTGGTAAGACCACCTGCTTCAGACGCAGAGGTCCCGGGTTCGATTCCCAGATTTTTCTGTTAGGTTTGGTTGTTGGTAGGGCTTGTTCTAAGTCCGGCTGGCTAGCTACCACCATCTTACCTAAATCTGTCGCCATAACAGTAATGTTAACAGCATTGTTGTGTTCCGGCAGTTAGAGGTAAGATAGCCAGTTCCTCCGTGGTTGAGGATTCCGGGTGAAGCTCGCTTCCACCTTCGGCCTGATCATCACTTACCATCAGGTGAGATACAGGCCAAGAGCTTTCTCGTTGTGGATAAAAAAAAACATGATGCTATTAGTTATGATGCTCGTTTCTCTCAACTCAATGTTGTCCACTGCTGGACAAAGGCCTCCCCCAAGGATTTCCTCAACGACCGGTCCTGGGCTGCCCGCATCCAGGTGCTTCCCGCAACCTTCACCAGGTCATCGGTCCACCTAGTGGGAGGCCTACCTTTCAGTCTGGCTGTGGTCGCCACTTGAGAACTTTTCTGTATAAGTATAGGGACAGGAATCGGTTCAGTAGTTTTTCTGAATCCTGAAAATACACATTTTCAATATTTATGTTTTCAACTTTATGCGTCAATATCTTTAAGAGTAGTTAATAAATTTCGATGATCTTTAGATCAAAATCTCTTGAAGTTTCCTGAAAATTTCATATTGTAAAATGTCATGGTGGTCATGGTTAAACTGGATGGTTATCCTGGAAAACATATTTCTTGAGACTGTTACTTAGTACTCACTCAATACTTAATTCTTTATTGCATCCATAATACAATCTTCTTCTTATCGTGTCGACAACAAACCTACAGTGTCAGCCAAAAACTCCGCTACAAGAGTGGCGTTGTCAGCAGCATTCATAAATCCTCTTGCGTGCAGTTGCTCGGGCACACAGGGCACGACATCATGTGCTTCGTCGACTGGGGAACAAAACGGCATCTGCACTCCAAGTTTGAAGTATTTAAAGTCATTTAAACCGGCTTTAATATATTCGTATCTAACTAAGATTACTAGCTCACATAAAGTTCGAAATCAAAATCAAATATGCCATTGCAATGTGCACTCGCTTTCATAACAAGGTACAAATTCCTAAGGAGGATGTCCCGACGCGAACCGAGAAGTGTAGACAGACGCTTCGTGTTCAAACTTCGGAGCACTTCGAGCCCTTTGAATCGGGCGCAAATACATACCGGCAATTTTCGGAAGTTGGTCGAAGCGAAGTGAATTAAGTGTCCACACTATCTATTGCCGCAGTTACACTATGCGCCAAATTAATCTAGACATAGTTTAGTCTTTAGTGTAAACGCGCACTTCAGTTAGTTTCGCCGTGCGTCGCCCATACTTCGGTATTTCTCGCATAGTGTAACTGCGTCAGTATGACTGAACTTTGGTCAATTTCGCGAGAATTAGAGTAGTAGTAGAATAGTAGTAGAGTATTGTAGAAATGTAACACTGTTTAATAAGGGAGGGTCTAGTCTGCGACCGCCCATCGATATGGCGCACTATGAACCAAAAGCCCAATCTAGCTGGACAAAAAGGGTCATCGCATAGGATCTTACATTCGTTTAGCAAAAACGATAGCTTAATAACCAGAGGTAACGATTCAGTCATTATTTTTAGCAACTATCCTCTGATAATTTAGTAATTTTAAGACGAACTTGAACAAGTAAGTATTTTACGATCAAATTATTCACTTTCTTGAGGTTGATATATCAGTGTCTCTTGATTAATTCTAATACAATTGTGAAATTTTTTGTTATGGATCGTGAAGTAGAAGGTACGTATTACATATTAAACCAAAAAAATATTCCTAAAGCCTATTAATTAATTAAGATACATGTAGAAATAAAATGAAAATTCGTATTTTTTCACGTTTTTCTGTATTTGCGAGACCAGGAACTACATGTCCCCTCATGTCCCTGGGCTGGATTTTTTATATGAAGTAGACACATAATTATGTGAGCTTCAAAAAATAGTAGGTTGTAGACAGCACACTGAAGCACAACTTAGATTTTTTTGCAGAAAACGTAGTGGCGGTGACGCGAAGCGAGTTTTATTACGTATGGTTAAAACACACAAAAACAATACAATTTCAGGACTATTCGATTATTTCTTAGCTAGATAAGACTAAAAAGAGGTTATGGAGTGTTGTTTAAGAAACATTATAAAGAATTTAGTCAGATTAGCTCAAAATTAGGCGAAAAATGGGTTCAGTTTGGTAAAATTCGGGACGATTTTGTGACAAGGCCGATTGGTGTTGAATGGCTGAATGGTGAAAACTTCAAATTGATACACGTATTTTGCATCCATCTACGTCAGAAAGTCAATCTAGTACTTCAAGTCCTGGTCGCCCAAACATTGACTTCGTCCAAGGCGCGTTCAAAACAAAAAGAAGACGCAACGAGTTGACGATGTATTTAAGTCCTGCAGTACCTACTGACGATTTGGTAATGGCCGGCCAGGTATTGTTATAGTTTTATTTAATTTACATTATCTATTAACCAGCTGTGCTCGCGTCTTTGTATGCGTAAAAATAGTTAGAATACTTAATACTTCCCGTTTTTGCAAAAAAATTCTTTACTGCTCCACCCCTACTGGCTGTAGGGTGTTATATCGACTAATGCCTTTCTTGATAAAAGGGCTATCCAATACAAAAATAATTTTCCAAATGGGGCTGTAGCTTAGTTCCTGAAATTAGCGCGTTTAACCAAACAAACAAGGTTTTCAGCTTTGTAATTTTCAGTATAGAAAGCCATCTTTAAAAGTACTTAGCCTTAGGTTTAGCATTATACCTTATTACTTTTACAGAACTAATGCAAGGATGTTAAAATGTCAAGCACCAGTATAAAAAAACAATAATTTACCTTAACTAACAAGTCCAGTTTAACTAGACCTCCATACACGTATAAAATGTTTATTAAAGGGGGTCAGCTTATGCTGGTTTTTAGTAGTTTTTTTATCATTATTTAAAAGCTTTCTGTTCATTTTTTTAACATATTATGTCAAAGTAAGAGTTTTTAAAGCGTTTAGTACCTATTCCAAGCCTTAAATAATTTTGTCCAGCTAGATTGGCCTTTTGGTTCACAGTGTGGCGACTGAACCACAACCGTGCGGAAGATAACTCCTACTTCAGAACACAGATGGCGCTGTGCCGATTTGATTCACGATATCATTTGATTTTTTCTAAATAAATAAGTAGATACCACTGTAGTTAACATCTTAAGACTGAAAATGAGGTAATATATATTTAGGTTATACAATGTAATTAAGTTGTTGTTACTACTACTGTAAGGCACTCGTAATTTGTACAATTTTTGTAAGGAGGTCATCTTAGTATGATCTCCTGAATTGATTCATAGTTTTCTTTTAGCTAATGGTTATTGGAATCTATTGTCACTATTTTCAAGTTTATCTAGCCGTGTTAAATACAAACATTGTTTTTAAAACGGTTTTTAAATAATGCTGAATTTGAGAATACTCGTGGTGCGAATGAAATTCTTTGTTAATCCTGAAGATATTTTATTTTTGACAATTACTATATCACATGTATTAAAATTACTAGCTTTTCACCCGCGTGAAATTTAGTTTGTCACAGATCGTCGTAAATTATAGCTTATAAATGTTATTCTGGGTTATAAACAATAATACTGTAAAGTTTTCATCAAAATCCGTTCTGTAGTTTTTGTGTGAAAGAGTAATAAACATGTTGACATCCGTACAAACTTTCGCCTTTATAATATTAGTAAGAAGTAGGATAAAGCTTGAATTAATACTAAATTTTAATGTAAATCTTAAATTTTTATATCTATCCATTTCATTTTATTAAATTATTTAAATAAAATATATTAAAACACGTTTATTAATAAAAAAAAACGGAATGTCTCCTGTTCCACGGAGACGGTCTCTGAACATCCCGTTTGCAGTGTCCCGCAAAAAACCGGTCCGTTCAAGATTGGATTTAATTTTTAAATACGCACTTGTGTGTTTCACGACACCAGTGTTACCGGAACCTGCAGTACAATTACTGAATCCAGCTGAACTGGATTGATGTGGGAAAGAGCCCTTAGGGGAGGGCCCCGCTGTTCTTTGTCAAGGGCACTAAGCTAAATAAGCTTGTGTTACGAGTGGGTTCACCACAATAGTTAAGCGAGGGATTCGAACCCGCGTTCCTCGGATCTCGAGTCGGCCACTCCGACCCCTTCACCGTTGGGCTATCGTGGCTCTATCTTTATAATATTACACTAGCGGCCGCCCGGCCCGCGACTTCGTACGGGTGGATCCCGTTTTACCCCCTTAGGGGTGGAGTTTCGTAAAATCCTTTCTTAGCTGATGCCTACGTCATAACATCTACCTGCATGCCAAATTTCAGCCCGATCCGTCCAGTGGTTTGGGCTGTGCGTTGATAGATCACTATGTCAGTCAGTCAGTCACCTTTGAGTTATATGTATTATACACTCGGCATCAAATTAATCGCACCTCCCACAACAAGCACTTTCTCAAACGTATGCATCCCCACTTCCCACCAACATTGGTTCCATTTGAAAGCCTAGTTCTAAACTTCATTTCATTAAAGGAAAGGTTTTTACCCCAAAAATGTGTTTTTAGAAGGATCCAGAGTCACTTCTTAAAAAAATTGGTAGTTACGCTTGAGCCAACTTTTATGGCTATAAAATTGGGATTAATCGCTATCCATCTGTTAAAAAGGACACGTAAGATCATTACTTATTTGGTTTTATAAAATTATAACCACAAAAACTGATCTAATTGATCCCAGAGGTGAGGCCTTTTTTCAAGTCACATTTATGGTACCTGTTCATTGTTTATAAAAAAAAAAATGTGTTTTTCTTTAAGTTTATTTATTGGGCTTTCAAATAACACCAATATTGTTGGGGCACCATGATTGTGTCAGAAGAAAATCTTTAAAGTTCGTGTCGCGGAAGGTGCGATTTATTTGATGTTGACTATATTTAGATTATGCTGAATAAGTGTACTTATTCTTATATTCTCTCTTTCAGTGATACCACTAAGTGCAGCCCCAGTGGAGGTCACACCAGTGGTGTGCTCGGTCTGCGAGTGTGCTGGGACTGTCATTGACTGCTCCAGCAGGGGCCTAAAGGAGACTCTTAGTCAGGAAGCGTGGGCAGGTACCTAAGCCAGGGTTTCCCATTTTTTTTTGCCAAGGAACCCTAATAGATTATACTTTTCCTAGCGGAACCCCCGTACTACTCCGCCCGCACGCCCTGCCCCTCACTTGTGCGTAAACAAGTCGGTGCGAGCGAACAACGTCGGTCACGAAACGTGGGATAATATTTTTTACGGAACCCTTGCGGCCATTCCACGGAACCCCAGAGTTCTGCGGACCACCTTTCGGGAACCGCTGACCTAAGCGAACTGGCTTATTCCACTATTCCCCGTTGACAATCCCGTCAACGGGGATTAGTGAACTTTTTGTTCATTAATGGAGATTAATGAACTTTTTAGTTCATTAATCCCCATTATATTAGGATTTTATTTTTAACGTATTATTTTTTTCTTCTTACAGGAATGAAATCCTTAAATGTTACTGAAATCAACCTAAGTGGTAACTACATAGAAACTCTTGCTCAAGTTCAAATTGAGCTCCCTATAGAAGTGTTCAATAGCTCCAATAGCAATATCGAAAGGGTGGACGATAGATGCTTCAAATACTTACCGAATCTCACCACCATTGATTTAAGTGGGAACAAGCTGACGAGTATTGATCAAGGTGTCTTACAGGTATGAATAATTGTCATAGAATTAGATTATAACATCTAGATCATTGGTTACTAAAGAAGGGGCCGATATAATACTAAGTAATCCCAAAAAACGGTATTATTCATAATCTCATCCCATCCCAACTAATATTATAAATGCGAAAGTAACTCTGTCTGTCTGTCTGTCTGTCTGTTACGCTTTCCCGCTTAAACCTCGCAACCGATTTTGATGAAATTTGGCATATAGAGATAGTTTGAGTCCCGGGAAAGAACATAGGATAGTTTTTATCTCGGTTTTTGAAACAGGGACGCGCGCGTTAAAGTTTTTCTGTGACAGACAAAATTCTACGCGGGCGAAGCCGCGGGCGGAAAGCTAGTTTCATCTATAAAACATTAGTCACATTTCAAAATTGTTATCAAACGCGGATGGGAGACCGGAATACCTGGTATTATTTATAAAATTATCGATAAAACTTAACATAGTAAGAAATAAATCTAAAATATGTGTACTTGATAAGAACATTGATTAGTCAAATATTAATCGCTATGATAATTATTTTTATACACAAAACCTTTGTATAAAATCACAAACCGTAAGGCCCAGAACACACGGTGAAACGCAACTGCAACGAAACTGCAACTTCTAGTTACTTTTGAGTTGCATCTAAGTTTCTGCCATAGCATCCGTTGAGAAACCACACATGACGCGACCAATTAGAACTTTTAGTTTCGTTGCAGTCGCGTTTCACCGTCTGTTTTGGGCCTAATGACTGAATCTTGAATGAACTACTTTACTGTGGTATCTAATCTTGGATTTCATCGAAATATATTTGTTTTTTTTTTGATAAAATATACCTTATGTAATAATAATCTGATTGTATACATGCCAGACGCAAGTTACCGTACCATCCCTACATTGTCGACATTCCACCAGCAGACTCGTTTATAATGCGAACAGCTAGGGACTGGAATTCGCTGCCTGCTGCTGTCTTTTCTGAACATTAAAATCCGGGCCTTTTCAAGGCGAGAGTGAATAGGCACTTACAGGGTAGATATGTACCATCCTAGACTGCACCAGGTGCAATTGCGGTCAAATATATTTAAAAAATAACCGTCTTTCAGGGCCTGTTAATCGCAGAAGAGCACAGGGTCAGGGTCTTCAAGAAAATGAGATATTTAAATCTAGCGGACAATGAGCTCCATACACTACCGAAGGATGCGTTCTACTTCATGCAAGAGCTGACTTTTTTGGATCTGAGCGGGAATCCCCTGGGTATTATTGACCAGGTTGTGATGGGAGCGTTGAGCGATTTGACGCTTTTGAAGGTACGTTTAAACTTTTAAAGCATTCATAACATCGACTGTCTGTGAAGCTACTTGCTCGCATGCCACCGACAAGATTCTAGGCAATTCGTTTCAGATAAATGACGTCCACTGCTGGACAAAAGTCTCCCCCCAAGGATTTCCATAACGATCGGTCCTGCGCTGTCCGCATAAAAGTGTTATCCGCAACTTTTAGCAGATCGTCGGTCCCCCTAACGGGAGGCCCACCTATTGGTCTTCGGATCGTAGTCCGTAGTAGGTAGCTATCCGAGAAAATTAAAGGCCATCGGAGATTGATGGAAAAATGTTGCTTGGTAGCTCAATAGTGAAAATACCAAGCGAAAATCTCGGTGGTCCCCCACTCCCACCAAAGACAGTCGATTTATTTCAGGTGAAAATTATATTCTAGTAATATTTACCACATTTTATAGATCATTAATGCCCGTTTTCACCATCAATCCCTAATTTTTAAGTAGGTAATTCCTATGTAAACAAAATTCCTGTTTTTACCATTGGTTTTTACAGAGTGATTTGGCAGGTACAAAAGTCACTTATTTTCAGTGAAATTTTATTTATTTTCAACCGACTTCAAAAAAGGAGAAGGTTCTCAATTCGACCCGTATGTTTTTTTTTTTCTATGTTTGTTACGCGATAACTCCGCCAATTATGAACCGATTTGAACAAATCTTTTTTCGGCGTATAGGTAATACCTCAAGGGTGGTCCCATTTAAATTTAATAATAGAAAAAACAACCCCCAAGGGTGGAAAATTGGGGATGAACTTTTTTATACGCAATATCTCCGCCGATTATAAATCAATTTGAACGATTATTTTTTTGTTGAATAGGTATTATCAAAAGGGTGGTTTCATGCGAATTTGAAGAAAATATTTCACCCCCAAGGGTGGAAAATTGGGGATGAACTTTTTTATACGCAATATTTTTAATTTTTAGTTTTTTTTTGTGTTCACGCATTTGAAGTCGGTTTTATTTTTTTTAAAAGTTAATTATTTTACCATAGGGGCCACTTAAACATTAGGTATTGATGGTGAAAACCTTAATTATTTCAATTACCATTTCATGATTCATTTCACCAGGAACCAGAGTTCCTCGAATCTCGAATCCGCCAGTCAGACACCTTCTCCGTTGGGCTATTGTAACCTCGATGTCGCTAATAAAATTTTATGATACTATACTAGCGGCCGCCCGCGTCTTCATTGAATACGCGTGGATCCCGGTTTCCTCCCTTAGGGGTTGAATTTTGCAAAATCCTGTCTTAGTGAGCACCTACGTTCTAAAAGAAACCCCCATGCAAAATTTGAGACTTCTAGCACTTGTAGTTTCTGAGATTTCATGATGAGTGAGTCAGTCAATCAGTGACCTTTCACTTTTAATATAGATTATTTATGTTCGATACGATGTCCCCAGGAGTTTCGCCTCAGAGGCTGTGAGCTAGAGACGCTCCCTGCGGGTCTCCTGCGAAGGCAGCGCCGCCTAGAGCGTCTGGACATCAGCGACAATATGTTCAAGACCGTGCCTGACGCGTTGGCTGAAGCCACCAACCTCATCTACTTGGATTTTGACAAGAATTCCTTGACGGAAATCAGTGAACAGACGTAGGTATACGAAATACTTGATTATTTACAGCGTATAATAAGAACCCACAAGGTGGACCGACCGATGATAAAGGTAGCAGGAAGGCGCTGGACGCAGGCCGCTACCAATCGATCAACGTGGAGATCATTGGGGGAGGCCTATGTTCAGCAGTGGACGTCCTATGTCTGAAATGATGATAATGAGAATAAGATCCCCATTCTTGCCGTGGACGTTGTAAAGGCGACAGTGAAAGTCAGGCCTCCTCAACCCGTCTGGCCAGCGCGGGGAGTGTCGGCCAAATCCTCCATTTGCCTCTGGTAAATTAAGATGGCATTCCTCCTGCAGTGGAGACTATATCACTTAATGATGATAATGATGATTCATTTGTTGCAGTCCCCTACCTAAAACAAGACTCAACGCACTACTTCTATCGTTTGCCGGTTTGCTTTTACCACTGAGCTTTTACCTTTCAGTGACCAGTCCACTGAGCAATCAAAGAAAATACTGCCCCGATTTGATGTAACAGGCTCACAATGATCATAGAAAATACACGGGACTATTCCCACCTCTCGTTCCCACCGCTGCTTCTGTGTAGCCAGAATCTACTTAAACTGTCATTGGACCCGCAACGAAATTAATCAGAAGAACAAGGAGTGCGAAGTTAATGTTGGCTACCTAAGTAAACTCCGACAAACTTTACTTCGACATTACGTTACTCCGACATTTCTGAATATCGACATGACTTTACTTCGACACTACACTACTCCGACAAAGGATATTCGCCTTTGTCTAAGTAGTGTAGTGTCGAAGTAAAGTCATGTCGATATTCAGTAGTGTCGGAGTAACGTAATGTCGAAGTAACGTTTGTCGGAGTTCAGTTTTTGAGCCGTTAATGTTATCAAGATCATAGAAAATACAAATCCTAATTTTGTGGTTAATCATCATTATCATCTCAGCCATAGGACGTCCAATGCTGAACATAGGCCTCCCCCAATGCTTTCCATGTTGCCCGGTTGGTAGCTGCCTGCGTCCAGCGCTTTCCTGCTATCTTATGATGTCGTCGGTCCACCTGTGTTGTTTATGACTGAATAATCATAGATAATAAACCTTAATTGAATTCCAGTGCAATATCCAAGCTGACCAAACTGCAAGAGCTTCGGATATGCCGTAATACGAAGCTACGGTCTATCGGTGTGAACGCACTAGGAGGTCTGGAGAGCCTGGTCACCCTGTGGATATGTAACAACCCTCGACTCAGCGTGATCGATGACGACTTCCTTACCTGGGAAGACGACGAGGATGTTGAGAGACGACCTTCTTTGAAAGAGGTAGGATAATAGCACCCAGTCACTTTTTTACCCACGCGGCAACGTAGGTTTCTATAAGCCTCAGAATCTAGACTTCTAAATAGACTCGCCATGCTGTAAAAACTCGATGGCACGGCCACAATGTCTTTTTCCAGGGTCCATTCTTCATATTTTATCAATACCAATACTTCAAAATCAGCTCAGGGGTCTAAGCGACCAACGGGACTATTCACACCTCTCGTTCCCACCGCTGCAACTCCTGTGTAGCCAGATCTTGACCGGCAATAACCCAACCAGTGAAGGTCAAGTTTATCCCTGGGGTTTAAACTGTCATTGGGCCCGCAACGAAATTAATCAGAAGAACATAGGAGGAGTTCGAAGTTATGGTTCAACTTCCCTCCATTGCAAAGCGGATGACAGTGGGTCTAGACAAAGTGCAAATTATAATCGCAAACCAGTCGAAAAGTGGTCGAAAAGCCCCTTTTTTGTATGGAGTTTTGACGGATTCGATTTTCGATTCGATCAAAAAGTGCGTTTTGTCTAAGGGGGCAGGTGACAATTACAAAGATTTAGTGGCGTAGGCGAGCAACCCAAAAACCGCAATTTATTTCGCTTTATTTATCAAAATTATTTTCTAAATTCCAGCTATACCTGTACAACAACAACATCACAGAGATCGACTCTGACTTCCTATTCAGATGGGATCAGCTCCAGAAGATGGACTTCAGCGATAACCCTTACACCTGCGACTGTCATACCCAGTGGATGGTGGATGTACTGGTCCCGTTCATCATCAACAATGGCGGCTCAGCTGGTGATATGATGTGAGTGAGCTACATAGCTTTCTATGGTGAGCTACATTATAACACAAGCTTCTGAGCTATACAGGGTGGAAACGATGTGAGATTATTTCTAAATTGTACAAGATATCGAAAAATCGGTTACTTATCCTGAAAGTGCTTCCCAAGCTCTAGTAAACGGTATCAATAATAGGTTACAGAATAAACTGGATCTATTTGAAAATTCAATGTTTCCAGGTCCCATACATTTAGTACAGCCACTGAGTTCTGTGGGACTGGGTACTACCTACAACCTATTCAGAGGCAAATAAATATATTCGCTTCTATTCCGTGTGTTGACCTTTGAAAAAGAGGCTGACAATATAGTGACTGAGTTTCTTGCGCTGCTTCTTCTCAGCACTGGCCCATTTATTGTCCTGAAGCAGTGGTAGGGTTAATACTGGGACGTATAAAAGTGCTTTTTTAAAGCCTATTTGCAGAAATAAATGAGTTTTATGAGAGTTGCAACAAGAATAAGAATAAGAATAAGAAATTTATTCATAATGTTCATTACATGTCAAATTTTCAATATATTTTCTTATTAATAATAAACAATTGCAGTATTAATAAGAAAGAAATACACATCATGTCCAAATAAATTAATAATACAAATAGAATTAATGTCAATTAAATGTCAAAATAAATAGTGTCAATAATAATTAAATTCCAAACAGTTCGTCAATTTTATAGAACGCCTGCTCGATCAACCACTTTTTTAATTGAAAGAAAGAATGGAATGATACCGCTTCTTTCACTATTTTAGGCAATCGGTTGCATAGAAATAGAATACCCCCATAATAACTATCAAATTCTATTCCAGTTGTAATAAGCCACAAGAGCTTCGGGGCCTGTCATTCGCTCATCTCCACCAGAACAGTAAAACCCTCACGTGCGTGGAGTCAGAGAACATAGCGACCACGGCTGGGCCTGCTGACATAGCCATCATATTGGGAGTCATGATCGGTAAGTGTTCATCAACATCATCATCATCATCTCAGCCATAGGACGTCCACTGCTGAACATAGGCCTCCCCCAATGCTTTCCATGTTTCCCGGTTGGTAGCGTAAGTGTTATTTCTAACAAAACTTTATTACTCACTAGCGGCCGCCCGCGACTTCGTATTCGTACATACGCGTGGACTCCGTTTTATACCCTTAGGGGTTGAATTTTACAAAAGCCCGTCTTAGTGAGCACCTACGTCCTAATCATCATCATCATCTTTTCAGCCATAGGAAGTCCACTGCTGAATAGGCAGGCTGGGTGAATATCAACAACATCGTTTTTTGCCTAATTCCGGTGGCGAATTTTAATTTCCACTTTCCAAAACTTTTTTGTGGCAGAAATAATAGTAAATAACTTGTATTATTCAATCATATGGTAGAGATCAAAAGATTATTAATACGAGGGCGGCACTGAAAATTTCGGGAATCAAGGAAGTGAAACAACATTACTATTTAAAAATGTATTTATTGCTTTTTAAAGTATTCTCCGCGAAATTTGACACATTTTTCCATACACGAAACCAATCATTGAAGCAACCATTGCATTCGGAAGTTTGGGTCTCCAAAATGGCCGTTTTGTAGGCTTCCACAGCTTCTTCAGGTGATGAAAATCTCTGACCACGCAATTTATTCTTTATTTTAGGGAAAGTATAGAAATCATTAGGGCTTAGGTCGGGGCTGTACTCGCTAAAGACCATGCGAACTGGAGATTAAGTATGAAGATATTTCTAGATCTATACCAGCTACTGAACTAACACATTACATATTTGTGACAGGGTAATTTAACGGAAAACTATACAAACCTAGCGATAATGAGCTAAATGAAAGTAGTACAATTAAGAAACGGAGGACTGATAAGATGCCAGAACTGTAAAAGCGTACTGAGCTGCACCCTAATAGTACTGCAAAAATCAAAATGTAGTAATCATTTTTAGACGAACAGGCAATTTAATCACATGTGCATTCTCCGATCACCACACAGCTTATGACCGCAGTCTATGAAGGAACACTATCTGAGGTCGCGATCCTCATCAGTGAGGGACCGAGGAAGAAGAAGAAGAAGTCATCACCGAAATAGAAGAATGCCGAATAAAAGATGCTCAAAAGATGTCGACTGATGAAGCCTAAGCCACGACCAGTGCCAATCCAGCTCCAAAATCCCACGAATTTTCATCTCGAGTGGCAGAATAGATTGCAACCTACGAGACTAGGGAAATTTTAGCTGTTTCAGGACTAGTCTCATCTGTTTTTAAGATTCTGCTTAGTATCGATGTATAAATAGCTATCTAAGTCCTCACGCTGATACAAAGTGTATTATAGAGACGATTTTTTGTAATAAATCGAAATTATGTATTTGCGAGGACCAAATTGAATATACCAACATGAATAACGAGGATAGCGGAACCATTTTGGTAAATGCCTAAGCTGCTAGGAGAGATTAAGAAGCACTACTAGTAATTAGGCTGAAGATCGAGATTATTCCGACACTTTAGCGAAGATATCCTAGACTTTAGCTTGAGTGAGATTAGAATGCCCTATTAAAAACAACAAGGTATGTACCAGGAGATAATAAAATCACAACTGAGCTTATGAAATCAGATGGAATGCTAGTACTAAAGTCCTCTAACACCTTTGCTGCGGCAGTAACTTTCTAATACTTTCCATTCCTTCGGTACAAGGTCAGTAAACCTGGTATTAAAACTTACATTGTGGCGGCACAAGGCTTAAAGACCTTGTAATATTTAAGATATATTAATTTTATTTTTGGCTTCATGTTACTAGATATTGTGTTTTTTTTCTTTGAATATTAATAATAATGCATTTATTGACATACACCT